TTCCTCCAATTTCCTCTGCCTCCAACCTCCACCACAAGTCTGATCTCTTTTTCCATGAGTTTAGCTGTGTTTTTTTTTTTTCATGGTTCCACATATAGGTGAGTTCATACAGTATATTTGTCTCTCACTTATTTCACTTAGCATAATGCCTTCAAGGGCCGTGTATATTGTCACGAATGCCAAGATTTCCTCATTTTGTATGGCTCAATAATATTCCATTTTGTATATACCCACAATTCTTTTAAACCTTTCATCTGTTGATGGATTTTTGAGTTGTTTCCATGCCTTGGCTACTATAAATAATGCTATGAACATGGGGGTGCAGATACCTTTTCAAGTTAGTGTTTTGTTTCCTTTGAATATAGTCCCAGAAGTGGAATTGCTAGATGATGTGGCAGTTCTATGTTTAATTTTTTGAGGATTTTCCATACTGTTTTCCACAGTAGCTATACAATTTACAAGTGCACCAACAGTGCACAGGGTTCCCTTTTTTCTCCATCCATGCCAGCATTTGTTATCTCTAGTCTTTTTGATGATGGCCATTCTAACAGGCATGGGTTGATACCTCATTGTGGTTTTTTTAACAGGCATTTCCCTAATGACTTAGTGATGCTGAACATCTTTCCATATACTTTTTGGCCTTTCATGTAACTTCTTTAGAGAAATATCTATATGTCTATTCCAAGTTATCTACTAATCATTTTTAAATTTGCTTTTTTTTTTTTTGCTATTGAAAATTGTGTAAGTTCTTTATATATTTTAATATTAACTCATTATATACATGGTTTGCAAATATTTTTTCTCCACTCCATAGTTGTCTTTTCATTTTATGGATGGTTTATTTTGCTGTGCAGAAACTTTCTAGTTTAATGTAGTCCCACTTGTTTATTTTTGAGTTTGCTGTGCTTTAGGTGTCATATCCAAAAAATATTACCAAGATCCATGCCAAGAACCTTTATTCCTATGTTTTCTTCTAGCGGTTTCATGGTTTCAAGTCTTACATTTAAATCTTTAATCCATTTCAAGTTAATTTGTGAGGGACTTAAGATATGGTTCCAATTTCATTCTTTTACATGTGAATATTTGGTTATCCCAGCACCATTTATTGAAAAGACTGTCTTTTATAATTAGTTGATTCTATATGCTTGGGTTTATTTCTGGGCTCTTGATTCTGTTCCACTGGTCAGTCCATCTGTTTTTATGCAGTACCTACTATTTTGATGATTATAGCTTTAAATTAGGAAATGTGGTGCTTCCTTTGTTCTTTTTTGGGGGGAGGTAGGGTGTTTTGTGTTTCCGTATGAATTTTAAGAGCTTTTTTTTCTATTTCTATAAAAATGTCACTGAAAACTTGATAGAGATTGCACTGAATCTACAGATGGCTTTTGGTACTATTCATATCTAAACTATTAATTCTTCCAATCCATGAACACAAGATACCTTCCCATTTATCTGTATCTTAAATCTGTTTTCATCAATGGCTTATAGTTTCCAGAATAGAGATCTTTCACATTCTTAAATTTATTCCTAAGTATTTTATTGTTTTGATGCCATCGTAAATAGGATCTATTTTTTCCCATAAATTTGTTAGTGTACAGAAATGCTACTGATTTTTGTATGTTAATTATGTGTACTGCAACTTTACTTAGTTCACTGATTAGCTCTGTTTTTTGGTTGTATTTGGGGTTTCCTATATATATCGTCTGCAAGTAGAAACAATTTTACTTCTTCCTTTCCAATTCTGAGGCTTTTAATTTTTCTTGCCTGATTGCTCTAGCTAGCACTGCTAGTACTATGTTGAATAGGAGTGGTAAGAGTGGATACCTCTGTCTTGTTCCTCATCTTAGAAGAAATGCTTTCAACCTTTCACCACTGAATATGTTAGCTGTGTGGTTGTCATTTATGGCCTTTATTATGTTGATATACATTCCTTCTATGCCTAACTTATTAAGAGTTTTTATCATGAATGGATGTGGAATTTTGTCAAATCCTTTTTCTGCATTTATTGAGATGATCATATGATTCTTTTCTTCCACTGAATTAACGTAATGCATCACACTGATTTGCAGATGCTGAACCATCCTTGCACCGAAGGATAAATCCCACATCATCATGGTGAGAACATTTTAAATTTTTTTTTTTTTTCAACGTTTATTTATTTTTGGGACAGAGAGAGACAGAGCATGAACGGGGGAGGAGCAGAGAGAGAGGGAGACACAGAAGCGGAAACAGGCTCCAGGCTCTGAGCCATCAGCCCAGAGCCTGATGCGGGGCTCGAACTCACGGACTGCGAGATCGTGACCTGGCTGAAGTCGGACGCTTAACCGACTGCGCCACCCAGGCGTCCCGTGGTGAGAACATTTTAATATGCTGAATTGTTTGCTAGTAATTTACTGAGAATTTCTGTATCTATACTCATCAATGATATTTACCTATAGTTTTCTTTTCTAGCAGTGTCCTTTTCTGGTTTTGGTACCAGGGTAATGCCTCACAAAATGAGTCTGGAGTGCTCTCTTTTCAATTTTTGCTAAGAGTTTGAGAAGGACTGGTTTTTAATTCTTCTGTAAACGTCTAGGAAAATTCACCAGGGAAGCCTACTGGTCCTGGGCTTTTCTTTGTTGGGAGAATTTAGGGATTCTATTCAGAGTTTCTATTTCTTCCTAATTCAGTCTTGATAAGTTGTATGTTTCTAAGACTCTTTCCATTTCTTCTAGGTTGTCCAGTTTGTTGTCTAGTTTGTTCACAGTAGTCTCTTATGACCCTTTGAATTTCTGTGGTATCGGTTGTGAGGTCTCCTTTTTCATTTATAATTTCTTGATTTGGTGCTTCCTCTCTTCTCCTTGCTTAGTCTAGCTAAAGGTTTGTCAATTTTGTTTATCTTTTCAAAAAAGCAACTCTTAGTCTGGCTCATCTTTTCTGAGGTTTTTCTATATTTATTTCTATTTCACTTATTTCTGCTACAATCTTTATTTCCTTTCTTCTGCTAACTTGGAGCTCAGTTTATTCTTTTTCTAATTCCTTAAGAGAAAGAGTTAGGTTGCTTATTTGGGATCTTTCCTGCTTCTTAACATAGGTGTTTACTGGTATGAACTTCCCTCTTAGAACTGCTTTTGCTACATCGCACATGTTCTGGTATGTTGTGTTTCCATTTTCATTTATCTCAAGAAACTTTTTTATTTCTCCTTTAATTTCTTTTTTTTTAACCATTAATTGTTCAGGGTAGTGTTTAATTTCCATGGGTTCACTCATTTTCCAGCTTTCCTCATGTAACTGATTTCTAACTTCATGCCATTGTGGTCAGAGAAGATACTTGGTATGATTTTAATCTTCTTGAATCTGCTAAGACTTGTTGTGTGACCTAACATATGGTCTATCCTAGAAAATGTTCCATGTGTGTTTTGGAAGAATGTATATTCTGCTGTTGTTGGATAGCATGTTCTATATATGTCTGTTAGGTGCATTTGGGATTTAAGTGTTGTTCGAATCTGCTGTTTCCTTATTCTCTGTCTGGATGACCTAACCATTGTTGAGAGTAGGGTATTAAAGTCCCCAACGATTACTTTATTACTATTTATTTCTCCTTTTAGGTCTGTTAGCTTTTGCTTTATACATTTAGGTGCTCCAATGTTGGGCACATAAATATTTATAACTATTGTATCTTCTTGATGTATAGACCCCTTTTTATCATTATATATTGACTTTTGTTTCTTTTTGCCATTTTTAGTTTAAAGTCTATTTGGTCCGAAATAAGTATAGCTACTCCTGTTTTTGTTTTTGTTTTTTTTTTTCTGGTTACCATTTGTTTGAAATGACTTTTTCCATCCCTTCACTCTCCGTCTATGTGTGTCTTTAAGGCTAACACGAGCCTCTTGTAGGCAACATATTGTAGGATCTTGTTTTTTTTAATCCATTTAGCCACTCTATGCCTTTCAATTGGGAAAACTTAATCCACTTATATTTAAAGTAATTATTAATAGGAAAGGACTACTGCCATTTTGTTAACTGTTATAAGTTTTCTTTTAGTGATACAGCAAAAACATCTTTATAAATAGCAATGGGGGAATAATTCACACAGAGCAGCCTGAAACAGCTTTTTAAAATGGTGATTTCACTGATCTTGCTAATGTCTCTAAGCAACTGAAGCCCTGTGCTAAAAAAACAAATGGCTGGGGATAACTCTGCAAAGAAAAAGACATAAAGAGATGGGTTTTGGTAAATGTGTAAATTCTTTCCCCTATACCCACCCCTGTCCCGAACTCCAGACCCACTAATTTTTCTTCCAGAATCATAGTTTGAACGGACTAACACAGATTTGCACTAATTTCCCCTGGAATTATTATATCGTCCCTGAACCTGCATATGCAATTCAAAAGCACAGTGAAAGCCATAAAAAGAACACAGACCTAATTTCCTCAACAAGTAGGGGATGACTGCAGACATCTGAACTCAGAAGCATTACTTGCAGTGCTAGTGCTAGAAAGTCTAATAATTTGATCTGAATGTTGGTGCAATATATTTTAGAAGTAGTGTTCTATGTAAAATAATCAGATTAATTGGTTCTAGGAAAAACTGACACAAACATATTTTAAGAAATCAAAATTATGGATCAAGCATTTCAACAGTACAAAAAGCAAGGAGTAGACGTGCCTCACATTCAAAAGGCCTTATGAGTAATTCAGGCAAAAGATAACCAAGAAAATTCCATAATATATCTCATTTCAACCATATCTGTTATATCCAAGAGATTCTGTGCATTTTAAACTTGCTCCCAATGTGAGGAAACTTTATTTTTAGTACCCCCTTAAAATACTTCAAACTGTCTCCTAAGCAATATTTAAGTTTTTTTCAAAGCCAATTCCGACAAGGCTTAGTGTATTACTCATCCAAACTGACTCAGTACTTTCAACCACCCACTATCAGCAGCTAAATTCCTCTTTAGTAAAGCATTCTTTTCACTTCAGCTTTGGCTTAATAATGGTACTCTCTAACCTTAAGCATACCTGGTATAAACAGTGGCACACACTTCGAAGCTGAGGGGGGAATTCTGAGGAGGAACTGATGATGGCATGGAAGAACTTTTCAGTCATCTGCAGAAGGTTCCGTTGGTTTTCCTCAAGGCTCTCTGATTGTTCTAACCTATAAAGGGGGGAGGGGGAGGTAAAATCCATTTAAAATAAACAAACGAAACTGCCCTTTAAAAGAGACTTTCAGCCAAATGCATTGTTTGAACTTTGCTGGGATCTTGATTTGAATAAAAAAACTATAAAAAGATAATTTTGACAACTGTGTATGAGAATTCTTATCCCCTTATATTCTCACAGATTTAGTATATACTCTGCTCAGTGCCATCCTCTCCGTTCTGGATATGTCTGCCTGCAGACAAGATCTATTCTGGTTTGCTCTCCACTTCTGTGGTAAAAAGCTTCCCTGTGAGACATGTCTGTAGTTATCCAGCTATGCAAGGGATGAGGTAGATGAGTCTAATTCAAGGTGAAATATCAGCAAGCCTATTCACCCACAGGATCAAAAGCCACACACTCTAAACGTTTTTATCAAAAATAAAGGTGATGACTGATTCCTGAGTGCTTCCTTCACAGCCCTCCTCCTTCCATTCTTTTGGTTTTAAAAGTTGGGCAGGGAAGGGACATCTGGGTGGCTCAGTCAGTTAAGTGTCCAACTTCAGCTCAGATCATGATTTCGTAGTTGGTTGAGTTCAAGCCCCGTGTCGGGTTTTGTGCTGACAGATCAGAGCCTGGAGACTGCTTCCAATTCTGTGTCTCCTCTCTCTCTCTGCCCTTTCCCCACTCACACTCTGTCTCTGTCTCTCTCTCGCAAAAATAAAGAAACCTTAAAAAAATTAAAAATTTGGGCTGGGTAGAGGGATATCATTTATCAGGCATCTCCAACCCCAACAAACCATGTGTCAAGCCACTTTAAAAAATACACAACATATGCATATTGGAGCTAATGTACAGAAAACACATGAAAGAATGACAGGTGATAATGAGCTGTAGTTAGAAAACTCTGTACTTTATCTTGTAGTCAATAGGGAACAGTTAATGTTCTAAGAAAGAAAGTAACAAAAAGATTTAGGTTTCATAAAATTCCTACAGCAAATAACCTGAAAAAGGAAAAAGACAACGTTGAGAAGTTACAGCAAAAGTCAATGGGATCACCATCTACAACTCTACCAAAAAGAATAAAATACCTAGGAGAATAGTTAACCAGAGAGATGAAAGACCTATACTCTGAAAATCATAAGACACTGATGAAGGAAACTGAAGACAACACAAACTAAAGGAAAGATATACCATGCTCCTGGATTGGAAGAATTAACATTATTAAAATGTGTATACTACCCAGAACAATCTACAGATTCAGTGCAATCTCCATCAAAATACCAATAGTTTTTCACTGAACTGGAACAAATAATCCTAAAAATCTGTATGGAACCACAGAAGACTTCAGGGACAAAGCAATCTTGAGAACGAAGAAAAAGCTAGAGGTATCACAATCCCAGATGTCAACATATACTACAAAGCTATAGTAATCAAAACAGTATAGTACTGGCACAAAAACAGACACATAGATCAATGGCACAAAAAAGAGTCCAGAAATAAACCCATGCCTATATTGCCAATTAATCTATGACAAAGTAGGCAAGAATAGAAAACGAGGAAATGACAGTCTTTTCAATAAATGGTGTTCAGAAACCGGACAGCTATGTGCAAAAGAATGAAACTGGCCCACTTTCTTATAGCATACATAAAAACAAACTCCAAATGGATTAAACACCTGAATATGAGACCTGAAATCATAAAATTCCTATAGAAAATATAGGTAGTAATCTCTCAGACGTCACCCATAACAACACATTTATGAATATGTCTCCTCAGGCAAGGGAAACAAAAGCAAAAATAAACTACTGGGACTACACCAAAATAAAAAGCTTTTACACAGCAGGGAAACCATCAATAAAATAGCAACCTACTAAATGAGAGAAGATATTCACAAACGATGTATCTGATAAGGGGTGAATATCCAAAATATTTAAGGAACTCACACAACTCAACACCCAAAAAAACCCAAATAATTTGATTCAAAAATGGGCAGAGGACCTGAATAGGCATTTTTCTGAAGAACACATAAAGGTGGCCAAGAGACACATGAAAAAAATGTGCAGCGTCACTAATCATCAGCTAAATACAAATCAAAACCACAATGTGGTGTCACCTCACACCAGTCAGAATGGCTAGTATCAAAACAAAAACAAAAACAAAAACAAAAACAAGTATTGATGAGGACGTGGAGAAAAGGAAACCCTTGTGCACTGTGGTAGGCGCACCTATTGATGGAAAACAGTACGGAAGTTCCTCAAAAAATTAAAAATAGAAATACCATATGATCCAATAATTCCACTACTTGGTATTTACCCAAAGAAAGTTAAAACACTAATTTGAAAAGGTACATGCACCCCTATGTTTACTGCAGCATTATTTACAACAGCCAAGATACGGAAGCAACTCAAGTGTCCATCAATAGATGAACAAAGAAAGATGATGTGTCCCCCCCACACACACACCTATTACTCCAGCACAAAAGAAAAAACAAAACAAAAACTCTTGCTATTTGTGACATGAATGGAACTAGATATTGTGCTAAGTGAAATAAGTCAGACAGGCAAATACTGTAAGATTTCACTTATATGTGGAATCTAAAAAACAAAACAAATGAACAAGAAAACCACTTTTAAGTACACAGAACAAACTGGTGGTTGCCAGAGGACATGGATGATACAGGTGAAGGCGATTCAAAGGCAGAAACTTCCAGTTATAAAATAAATAAGTCATGGAGATGAAAATGAAAAGTACAACATTGGGGACATATGGTCAATAATGTTGTAAGAACGCTGTATGGTGACAGATGGTGACTATACTTGTCATGATGAGCACTGAGTAATACACAGAATTGTCAAACCAAAATACTGGATACCTGAAACGAATACAACATTGTATGTCAATTCTATTTCAATAATAACTTTTTTTTAATTGGTTGGAAAAAAAGGATAGATATGGTATTGGCTAAATCATGATATAGCCAATCTATCAAATATTGTATGGCAGGTAAAAACAATGAGGTTAATCTTTCTATACTGACACAGAAAGACTGAAGACAGAGCCAAGTTAAAAAAATTAAGTTGCAAAACCACGTGTACAACATGTTTCCATTTATATTAAGCACTCACTGTTAGCCACACAGCTTCTACAACTTGATTTATGTACATGCAAATGCACTGGAAAAAAAAAAAGCAAAGAACAGACTAAACTAGTAACAGTCTCTGTCTCTATACATGGCAGCCAAAGATACCTGTAAATTTTTTTTAAGAAAAATGTATTTGTGTGTAACTTTTATAATTAAAGACTCATTTTAAGAATCAGAGGGAGAAACCCTCTGAGGGTCTGGTCCCACACGGTGGCAGTAAAAAAGTCGAGAAAAGTTGTAGATGAGAGGATGACAAACCTGGTAGGATCCACTTCAAAGCTAACATGTTGCCAATCAGAGGATGTGATCACGATTCGTAATAACGGATCCAGGAGTTTTTGTAGGTAGGTAGCACCATATACCTAAAGAAATACACAAGTAGGAAATTATTAAGCCTTCTCCAAATATCTTGCGTTAAAGACATTCTGCTCTGTACGTTCTGCACATAATCAATTTGCCATACCTTGGCACACACACAAAAGAATAAATGGATATAAACCTTGAAACAGAAGGTCATTATTTTACTGGCTAAGCTGTTCCCTCGGAAAAGAGTCTGCATGGAGTCTGCCAATTCTACTTCCTTAGAAAACATGTTCCAGAGCAGTTGGTAGAGCAAATGCCGAGAATCAAACAGAGTCACTAGAACTCGAGCTAGTTCATCCTGAGAACAAAACAAAATTGAGTTAGCATGAATAATCCCATTTGTCTTTAGCAGGAAACTGAAAGGTAAATCCAAAACTGTCAACCACCTGCTAAATCCAGTTAAGTGGTGACTAATTAATTTCTCCCTGAGATCTATCTGTGTCCATTTGTCTACAATGACTATTTCTTTATGCCTATAGCAGATGTGAATTCTTTTTTTTTAAGCAATTTGTTTATTTACTTATTTAAGCAATCTCTACATCCAGCGTGGGGCTCAAACTCACAAACCCAAGATCAAGAGTCACACACTCTTCCAACTGAGCCAACCAGGTGCCCCAGCAGCTGTTAATTTTATGAATTAACTGATGAAAATTAAGAGAGGCCTAGGTTTTACCAGGCCTAGACAGAAAAAAAGCCAAGATTCAGTTCAAATCACATGACAAAATTAAAGAGAGTAGAAATAGAACATGATGGCAAAGAGTTTAGTTTGATATGCCCAAATCATTTTCGTAGAAAACGAGTGAGCAGGAATGAGACTTTGGTGACCACAAGAGCTCTACTCTCTGCTCACATGGTCAGGGAAATTCAGTATACACTGAACATGGGCTCAGCAGAGAAACAACAAAAATGGAAAGATTATAGGATTTGCAGAAAGTAAGGGAAAAGATGTGGGCTGTGTATTCAGAACAAAGAGATTAGCAATATTTATGTATAAAGCGAAGGTGGACAGCTAATTCCCACATACTTCCTGAATGGTTACCCTCGTAACTCCCCATGGTATTTTTTGGTACACCCCAGGAAAACGATGTGATAGTAAAATCACTGTTTAACCACACAGTGCGGCGAGGAGATTCACATAGACTAAGGGGAGCCATAAAATGATGCCCCATCCTTCAAGCAGTGACAGCAAAGGCCAGGATCATGGTCCACAGCTCTTCTAATGCTTTTACCTGGTCAAATCTGGTATCTGAGTAAAGCAAAAAATTTGACAATCCTAACCACACAATCTAGAAGCCAAAGAAGACCCAGATATTCTGTTCTACTCTCTATAGTGACATTCCACATATGTGACTAGATACAAAAATTCTTTCCTCCATTTTATTATTTTTTTATTTATTTTGAGAGAGAGAGAGAGAAGTGCACACACACAGGGGAGGGGCAGAGAAAGGGGGAGGGAGAGAATCCCAAGCCGGTTCTGTGCTGACGTGGGGCTCAATCCCACAAACGGTAAGATCATGACTTGAGCTAAAATCAAGAGTTGGACACTTAACCAACTGAGCCACTCAGGCACCCCTCTCCTCCATTTTAAAGTCAAGTATAATTATGAGAGACAATTCAGCCACAAAATCTGTTTTTAGAGTACTGTGCTCATTTTTTTCCATCTAATCCCTTCCCTGCAAAATTCTGAAAACATTAAGCAACAGAAGTTAAAATCTACAAAAGAGAATTAGTTTTTTGTTTTTTTTTTTTTAAGCTTTAAAAGGTTTTTTAAGAAGTTGGCTGTGTAAGAGATCAGGGAAGAAGCATTCCAGGTGGTGGAGGCTGTGGTGGCAGTAAGGGTGCTCTCGAAGGTGGAAATAGCCTAACATCTTTAAGTCTGGTGAACAAGAAGGAACGTGGCAGGAGATGAGGTCAGAGGTGAGGCAGAGCCCAGGTTGGGTCGAGCCTGTAGGCCAGAGTAAGGAGTTTAAACTTTACTGAAGCATGAGGAACAAGATCCTACAGCCTTTTTAAGCAGAAAAAAACCTACAGGCAATGACAGATTACCTGATTTGTTATAATTTACTAAACTGAAATCGTTTTTGGTACACTATAAATGGAATAGATTTTTAGCATTGGAAAAGGACAACCCTTCTCAAATTTTTAGCGTGTACTGTTAAAAATAGTATGGTTTTAAGAAAATTTTTTAGTAACAGAGACCCAGGGGCTCAATCAGCTGAGTGTCTGACTCTTGATTTCAGCTCACTCATGATCCCAGAGTTGTGGGATCGAGCCCCACATCGGGCTCCATGCTGAGGACAGCACCTGCTTAAGACTCTCTCTCCCTCTGCCCCTGCCCCACTCGTGCGTCTGCGCACACGTGCTTGTTCTCTCTCTAAAATACATACATACATACATACATACATAGATGAATAAGAGACCAAATAGCCATATTATGTCTCCAGTGTTTAAAACAACCAACAATTTCTAATGCAAATATAGTGCTTACATTTTTTTAGAAAATTGTACAGTGCATTATAGAAGAGTTGTGAACTGGACACACAAGCCTTTAATTCTAGCTCTAGCATTAGTGACAACTAAATAGGAGATTTAACCCTAATCATCTCATGTAATACATGAAAACACCAGACCAGGTCAGTGGTTTTAATTTTCTTCTGATCAGTGTTTAAATTGAATTTTTCAGTGGGACAGGGAAGGAATTTGAGTTTCACTGTAAGTATATGATGAATAAGATCCTCATACTTAAGGTAAGAACACTCCCAAGGGCTAGAAGCCACAACTACTTTCCCATAGCTGAAAAACCACTCGAATAATATCTGAAGTTTCTTCCAGCTCTCAAGGTTTAGCAATTCATGCAATAAACATTCCTGGAATGAGGGACACCTGGGTGGCTCAGTCGGTTAAGCATCCAACTCTTGATCTCGGCTCAGGTCAAGGTTTCACAGTTTGTGAAACTGAGGCCCGCGCCAGGCTCTGCCCTATTAGCAGAGTCTGCCTGGGATTCTCTGTCTCTCTCTCTCTCTCTCTGCCCCTCCCCTGCTCATGCTCTCTCTCTCTCCCCCAAAATAAACATTAAAAAAAAAAAATTCCTAGAAAGAATAAATTTGGAAGCACCTGCTATGTGCCAGGCCCCAGTTTTGCACTTCCTCAAAGAACTCACCCACTGAGAACACGGAACCACGTTGGCCAAAGCCATGGCTATTGGGAGCTCTCCCTGGTCTCCCATCATTGTGACCAACTCCACCAGCCTCTCAAACCGGTCGGCCAGCACCGTTTCTGCAAGCGTGTCAAATTCTGTGCCTTGCTGGAGGATTTTTGTCAGAACTTCCATAAATGTAGCTCTTGTCTGAAGATCTTTGTGATAACCTAAACCTGATATGGACAGATAGATGCAAATTTACTAACATGGACTGTTGTAATTTTGCTTGTCTTACGTGCCAATTCTCTAGATTGTCAATTTCTCTACGAAGCTTTCATTTTATCTCACCTATGGAGTGCATGAGGCCACTGTCCACATTAGCATTGAGTAAGTTGGACATTGCAAGGACTGTGCAGTGCCTCAGTGATGCCAGCCTCCGGGACATGCCACGTTTCCTGCCACCTGTTTGTGCATTTTCATCTTCAACTTCACTACAGTCATTCAAAAGGTTCATAAACAATGTGAAATACCTGAGAAGTAAAAAGATCGACTCTTACACAGTGAAGGCCACAGCAACCAGAAAGCTAATCTGATTTTCTGAAATTATCACATGTGCATCACACGAGTGGTCTTGGGTATCTGCTTCTCTCCAGTCCTGGGATAATCAGCCAGTGTGGCTCATCACGAAGCGTGCTATGCTGAGTATGATTTTATCCTGACAAAGCCAGCACATAGTTCATAACATAGCCACCGAACAGATGCAATCTTTCCTGGTCAATGCAGGGAACACTTTTAGTGTTTACCATATAAAATTAGTAGCCCAAATAGTTTACACAATGGCATTTGAAATGGCTTAATGAGGTGATCTGGGTTTTACTGCCAATAATTCAATGACCAGACACTTTCTTTAAAAACACAAAACACAGTTGCTTTCCTAACCCAGTCCTATCATAGGGAATATTGCCTCATGCATGGGTTATATTTTATAAGCAGCTGCCAATAGCCATAATAGCCAAGTAATAAGGTCCACTTTCTACATACAATCATTTGCCACTTTGGTTAGATTTTGTTTTGTTGTATGTGGGGCTTTGTTTTTTGCTTTGCGTTTTTGGTGACTGAAATTTACTTCAGAAATAACTGTGACTTGGCTTCCATCAATTCCACACCATCTCCTTCCTCAGGCTGCAGTGGAAGACCAGCCAGGAGTGAAACAACGGCTTCCATGCTCGCCTGGTCCAAGTCTCTGAAGAAAGAAAATTTAAGGACTATATGAGTGTTTCACGTTCTTCCACTCGACCTTCCCGCAAATAAACACCTTCCTAACGGAACTTTAGGAATTCAGGAACCACCTATTTCATTAAACTTATTAGGACAACCTAAATAATTTGAGTTAACATGCACACCCAGAATGCAAAAGCATTTTAAGTTAGGGAGAAGGTGATGATAACTTTCATAAAACCAAGCCTCACCAAAGGAATTTATGTGCATGATTATTATGTACTTCAGGGTTCAATTAGTTTCTGACATGTGACATATTGTATTTACCATCTGAGCAAATATAGGAAATTCCAAACATCACTTTCTCACATTGGATTTTACTGAAAATCATTCAGTTAAAAATAGAAAGCAAAGATTTAAGTAATTCAAATGCAAAATATCCAAAAAACACATAAAATATATTGATAATAGTGATGATGTAGTATCAACACCCTGAGTAAACCTGCTAATAATTACAAATCACCCTCTCCATCTCTCTCTCTCTCTCTCTTTACCTTGTAAGACATTTTACATCATCATCTGCTGCTTGGTTTGATGTTCCCATGACCCAGTCTGTCAGGTATTCTACCATCTTATTCCTACAGAAAGGCAGAGAAAAGGAAAATAACAAACGATTTTTTTTTTTTTTTTTAAGTCACACGTACACCTTTAGTCATACACATATTTTTTGTAGTGCAAGCATTTGCCAAATCACTCGGGTGACACGGCAGTTTCGTTAAAGAGATACCGCTACTCCAACTCTCAACAGGCAGAAGAAGGGCACGCAAACAGGCAACGTGAATATCAACACTCCACGTCAGCCTTTAGCTACCGCACCAGTTTGGAAGCAGAATCAAATTCTTAGCTCCAGTATAATTTTAGACAAGGGGAGCACTGTCATGGGCACAGAGCTTTGGGAGATTTGAAAATACAGGGAGAGAAAAATAAAAAGGTGAATTGTTGCTTTTCCACCATTTTCTCCCTCCCCTTTCCTAGGATAATCAAGTAGCTGCTGGGGTTTTGTTTTGTTTCGTTTTTTCGGTTTTTTGGGTTTTTTGTACTTCATTTAACATAAGATTTACAAGACCCTACTTTGCTCTTTTGAGAACTCACCTAAATTTCATCTCTTGACAAAATGAGAGGTCATCTCTCCTTGCCATCATTACCTCGACTAACTGACACAGTTTCGTTTTTATTTGAATTGCATGGACCATGTTCCCAAGCACTCGAACATATCTATTTAGACATAGAAACATTCGGGGGGAGGGGAAAGAAAAAAAACACACATATCAGCTACAAAGAAAAGAAAAGTTTTCTAAATGCTTTACCCTCTAAGTAAAATGATGAAATGTGACTATGAAAACTGCAATATTTTTATTTATAGGAGCACATGCATAACTTCTGCTTACCTTATGGCACCCCACTTTGAGCGCAATAAAGAATAGCAAATTATTTCACTAGTAACCACCAATGCTGATGTGCTTCTGCTACATTTCAGTAGAATACTTACCTGACTAGATTTAACATCATTGTTTCAATGCTAGCTTGCCCCAGATGTTCGGAGCTGCCTTCGGTATGATTATCTAGTAAGTTCTTCATTATAGCTATGGTTTGCTCCACAAACTGAGTATTGGTGTCGGTCAATAAAACCTACATAAAGAACAAATACATTTTGGCATCAGCGCAGAGCAGACACATCACAGATGAAACTGTGTGACCTAACTGGCATACACATGCCAGAAAGCACCCGGGGGCATATATCCAAATAGGCACACAGACACACATAGGCACCCATACCCCTACCCAAGACATTTCTAACCCCTGGCACACCCGCAACTAGAGTTCCTAAAAACCAAACTGCTCCCTATATTGGATGATTCTTCTTTCTGCAATTCTCCGCCCTTTTTTTAAAAATTGTAAGTGGATGCTCATGCCAGTATTGAATTAAATAATCAAAAAGAAAAAGGCTTCGTTATCAAACAAATCGATTCAGAGACAAGGGTGAAAAGTAAAGCACAGAACACTTTACCTGTCCTTGCGAGTCAAAAAACTTGCTGATGGTATTCTTCAATTTGTTAAATAGCATTGGATAAAGAGCAGGACTCAATTCTAGACCCACCAGATCCTTAACGTTGGTCCGTATTTGAAGTCCCACTTTCTCATGGTTACACACCATTAAGGATAACAGCCGATCCATAAATTTGCTGACAGGTGTATCTGCATTTCCCTCCGAGGACATCACCGAAATCATGGAACCCTTGCGTTCACTGACTGGGCCCATAGGGGGGCTATAGGTTGCCAAGCCAGAGTTGCTTCTTTGCTGCAGGCACACTCCCCCAAGCGCGCAAAGGAAGCCAGTCATGTTGATCCATTCCTGTAGGGAGTCCGTGTCAGACAAATCTATGGATCCTCCTCCACTCACATGAGACATTCGCCTCTTAACAATGGTCTTGTGAAGGCTTTCAGCAGCCTAAACACAAAAGTTTTACGGAAAGCATGAATCCAACCTCAATGGGTTGAGAGACGTGACAAATTACTTTTTATCCAACATTTCTTCCATGACAAAAGAACATTTTTTACATTTGAAAAATGCAAGTCTTCACTCCAACCATTTCTAATGACATCAAGGTATCTTACTGCTCAAGGGCAAATGAACTGAGGTACAGAACTAAGGTAGCGATAAACACATGTGCAATATCAGACCCAGAAGGTGGTTGTGGACTGCAGCTCAGAAAGGAACATGCAATGAAATTATTTGCTTCTATCAATCCCTGGACCTAGAGGCAATGTCTATGCTGCTTCAAGGAATATAAGCATTTGGAAATTTTCAACCAAGTAGTATGTGCACTTATTAGTGATGGCCCAAGTTCAAGTACTCTGGGACCAGCTTTGCAAACACTGCACTACTATTTTTTTTTTTTAGTGTTAATTTATTTATTTTTGCAGAGAGAGAGAGTGCAAACAGGGGAGGGACAGAGAGAGAGGAAGAGACTGAATCCCAATCAGGCTCCATACCATCAGCGCAGAGCTGGACATGGGACTCGAACCCACGAACTGTGAGATCATGACCTGAGCCGACACCAAGATTGAAATGCTTAACCAGTTGAGCCACCCAGGCGCCCGCATTATGCTACTATTAACAGATTCCGCATGGCAAGATGAGAGTAATCAAGCAAAAGAACCACTAAACAGGAAGGAAGGGACTGTAAGGAAGGGAGTGCAGAAAAACAAGGAACAACAGAAAATAATCAAATCCTACAAGAATCTGACTGAGGAGTCATCTTTAGAGAGTTCTGATCCTGTTAGTTTATGGAGTACAGATGAGAAAGAAAAACTCTTACTATGTGTGGCAAAGGTTTTTCAAATTCAATTCTCTTTATATACTGCTTATAAGCTAATACTCATCCTATTACAGAGGACATATCAACCCAAGAAAGCAACACATTAGGGGCATTCTATGATAAACAAGGTGTAGAAGTACCAACGCAATTGCTTCATTATGTATGTTTGTTTTGTGGGAAAAATGGCCTTTCTCCCATGATGGATTGCTTTGAATAAGGAACTCCTGAAACTACCATTTCTTATGACACATGCATTTATTATAGCTGGAGCTAACAGTAGAGTATGACTACCATCCCTGCAGTCGTGCAGCACATTATCCCTTTTAGGACCTACGTTATAGGTATTTATGCAAATTCTCTGAACAAGAGTAGAGACAGAGTGCAGCTTGCAACATGGTGACTTAACATGTAGCACGGTGACAGGGTCAATGCCTACAAATCTCTGCTTTGACAGCATGTTTTGACAGAGAAAGCCTAGATCTTACACTTCGGTATTTTCTGTCACCTACTTTGTGAGGTTGGCTGGACTGAGTCAGATAATGAATCAACTTCATACCTTCGGTGACTTGTACAATAAAGAATCATTGGTATCAGACACAGAAATGACCATTGCAAAAGAACGTACAAACTGGCTTATAAGCAACAATGTGGTAGAACATAGATTTGGAGCAAATTTACATACTGAGATTATCAAACAGTGCCAAGAGAGTTTGAAGTTTTTAGCAGAAAAGCGACTGAGTCCTCAGCATATTGACCGCATGTGGGCTGCAGCAGTGCTGAACACGGTGATCAGTACCCACGTGACTTATTTCCTTTATTTGTCAAGAATGTGGATCCACTACCACTTAGGCATCTCTTTTATCCAGTCTCAATCCTTGAGCCAAGTGTTCATGGTGAACAAACATTGTACTTGGCATCAACGTCAATGAAACCTTTTTTCTTTTAAAGCATTATTAAATAAAGTACTAGGCTCAGGTATCTAAATAGAGTTCTTCTGCATCGTTATTAAATACTAAATTAAATAAGAAAGAGGAAGAAGAGCTCAGAAGAGCAGCTCTATCACCTTGGTCACCTGCAGCCAGCCCTTAAAGTACTGATAACAGTGATACCCATCAAAGTGGAGGCAGTGACATTGGAATGGATGAACTTATTAGTAGATCCAAACATGTGCAGCAGCGACTTTCAGACACGGAGGAATCTGTGCAGGGAAGTTCTGACGAAACTGCCAACAACGGTGAAGATGAAAGCAGTGGTACCGGTAACAGTAGCGGGCATAGTGATGGATCTAGCAATGAGATGAATTCTAGCCATGCAAGCCAGTCAGCTGGGAGCCCTAGCAGGGAGGTACGGCCAGAAGACACTGCACATATGAAACCCTTTAAAGAAGATGATGAAGATGACGATCGTGGTCACAATCCTCCTAAAAGCAGTTGTGGTACAGATCTTCAGAACAGAAAGTTGGAAAGTCAAGCAGGCATTTGCTTAGGGGATTCCCAAGGCCCATCAGAAAGAAGTGGGACAAGCAATGGAACAGGAAAGGACCTGGTTTTTAACACTAAGTAATGCCATCAGTAGATAATCAAATACAAATGCTAGAGGCCTGTTCAGACTCTCAAGATCCAGAGCATGGTATTTCAGGGGAAATAAACACCATTCGTATAGCACAAGCATCTCAAGAATCTTGTATTGCACACACTGGGGACTTTCTGGGGGGGGGGGGGGCTACTGGGAATGGATCCTTTAATGGCCTGCCATTTATTGGTCCACAGCACCACCACCCTACCATTATTACCACCATGATGGGCATATTGCTGATGATATGCTAAGTGCGGCTGACGTCAGATGCAGTAGCATCCAGATCAGTGCAAAATCAGAATATGGCTGATTGTGATGAAGCATCTGGGTGTGAAGAGCAGTTAGTTCAGATTAATTCACATGTAGAACATCTTATCTCCAACATCACCTTCCCAATTTAGCATCTATTTACCATTAACATCTTAGTCAAGGACCCAAGGACCTGCAGTTAGTTCAAAAACATCAATTCAACATAATGCTCTAACAGCCATTAGTTTGGGTAATGTTTGCTTGGAAACACTTTATTGTGGGATACAGTTCAAGATATGATTCAATTAATCTTTCTGAAGGATTAAAAAATGAAACAGAGAAACTTCTCTGTTCCTTGGTATGTTGGCTTATAGACAGATTCGAATGAGATTCATTGAAGGCTGCCTTGAAAATTTAGGCAAGAACAGGTAAAGAGGAATTTTTTACATGGCAAAGCTCATTCTGTATATTCTTATCGACTAGGTATGGTGAATTTAATGTACTATCATCAACCTGTGTTTTAGTAACTGAAGTTTTTATAATAGGTTTAAAGACTTTTCTCTCACAGGGTTCATATTTTATCACTCAGCCTTGCTTTTCGCAGCACTTTTTGGCAGTCTTGGTTAGATTCGCTCCAACAGAAACAACAATGCTTATTCCCTTCTTGCCTCTGGGAACATCGTAGTGAGTATTCTGTTTTCAAGTTACAGTTAAATGTTCTTGAACTACATCGTATTACATATAAAAAAAGCTAAATAAGTCAAGTTAAAGTTAAGCTGAAATATAAAAATTTTGATAGTGGCATTGTTCTCTCTGGGCGGATCTTTTGTGTCTTGACTTCTGAAGCACATTAAGAATTAGGTTAGTGTTTTTTCCTAGTTTGAATTCTACTGTTTATTTAATAGGGTCCAAATGATTACCACAAGTTTCTTACATTTCAGTTCTGTTCCATTAGTACATTTCAGGTTTCCCTTGATAACGTTCCATTCTCTGGCATAGTAAATTCAGTTATTAATTGAATATGTAATGTTAATATAATGTTTGCAGCAGGGGCCTCTGGGTGGCTCCTCGGTCAAGCGTCCAACTCTTGATTTCGGCTCAGGCCATGATCTCACAGTTCATGAGATTGAGCCCCGTGTCAGGCTCTGCACTGACAGCACAGAGCCTGCTTGGGATTCTCTTCTCTCTCTCTCTCTCTCTGTCTGTCCCTACCCTGCTCTCATGAATGCACCTGAGCTCGCTCTCTCTCTCAAAATGAATAAACAAATTTATATATATATACATATATGTATATATACATGTAACTTATATATATTATACATATATGTATAATTATGTTATATACATTATTTATATCTATTTATATTAATATATTATGTATTATTATACATGTATAATGTTTTCAACTTACCTCTGCCAAGGCCTGATATAACTAATTTTATTGAATATTTAAGTACTTCAAGATATTTCTTTTACCTCACTGAATTAGAAAAAAGTATATACAATGTTTTATTTTCTGCTTTTGGTCTTTAAAGAGCTCTAATTTGACAATCACGATAGAAAAATTATTCATGCAGGTGTAAGAAACCACAGACGTCTGTTAGTGAATCGGTTTGGCATATACTCTTTATCTTTTTTTTTTTATGTTTTTTTTTAATTTTTTTTTTTAACGTTTATTTATTTTTGAGATAGAGAGAGACAGAGCATGAATGGGGGAGGGTCAGAGAGAGGGAGACACAGAATCCGAAACAGGCTCCAGGCTCTGAGCTGTCAGCACAGAGCCCGACGCGGGGCTCGAACTCATGGACCGCGAGATCATGACCTGAGCCAAAGTCGGATGCCCAACCGACTGAGCCACCCAGGCGCCCCTTATGTTTTTTTGTGAGAAAGAGAGTGTGAGCAGGGGAGGGGCAGAGAGAGAGTGAGAAGAGAGAATCCCAAGTAGGTTCCAAGCTATCAGTGCAGAGTCCCACATAAGGCTCGATACCAAGAACCGTGCATGACCTGAGCTGAAATCAAGAGCTAGACACTTAACCAACTTAACCACCCACATGCCCCATGCATATACTCTTTAAAAGGAATGCTTTTATTTTTTTTTAATTTTTGTTTCAAGTTTTTATTTAAATTCCAGTTATTTAACATACGATGTAGTAATAATTCCAGTAAGAGGAATGCTTTTAATGGCTGAATGTTTCATCATTTACAGAGGTGCTATAGCAGTTTTTTTTTTTTAATGTTAATTGCTTGGGGCGCCTGGGTGCCTCAGTTGGTTAAGAGTCTGACTCTTGATTTCAGCTCAGGTCATGATCTGACCTTGTGGGTTTGAGCCTTGCATCGGGCTCTGTGCTGACAGTGTGGCAACTGCTTGGGATTCTGTCTTCCTCTCTTTCTGCTCCTCCCCTGCGCACACACACTGTCTCTCAAAAATAAACATTATTTTAAAAAATGTTAATTGTATGGGAAGCCTGGGTGGCTCAGTCAGTTAAGCATCTGACTTCGGCTCAGGTCATGACCTGACAGTTTGTGGTTCAAGCCCCGTGTCGGGCTCTGTGCTGACAGCTCGGAGCCTGGAGCCTGCTTCGGATTCTTTATCTCCCTCTCTCTCTGCCCCTTCCCCACTCATGCTCTGTATCTCTGTCTCTCAAAAATAAGTAAACATTAAAAAAAATTTTAAATGTTGTCTTTTAAAAGCCCTTGTGAAACCACAAGTGTTTTTTAAGTACTTGTTGTATCAATTTATATTCTCCATATGTGTATCTGCGTACCCTATTACCCAGCAGTTCCACTGTTAAGTATGTACTTTACAGAAATATACCTAGACAGTTACCAAAAGACACATTCAAGAATGTTCAAAGCGGCACGGGTCAAAATAACTCAATAGTCTTTGTATAGCTATCCAGTGTTCAAAGAGAATAGAAAGCAAAATTAAATTGTGAACTGTCTGCTGAACGAAATAACATACAGCCGTAACAGTGAACGAATGACAATGGCCCAGAGCAGTGTAGGTCACTCTCACAATGTTGAGTGACAGAAGCCAGATATAAAAGACTACATCTCCAGCACTCCATTTACAGAAAGCTTAAAACAGGAAAGCTCTTGTATTTAGTAGTCAGGATAATGGTTACTCTTGGGTTGTTTAGTGATTGGAAGTGGGGCAAAACAAAGGCTTCCCATGTGCTAGTAAGGATTTTTTTTTCTTGTTGTGGGTGCTGGTTCCACAGGCATGTTCATCTCCTAATATTCTGAACTGTTGCTTTGATTTATACATGTTTTTTATGTATGTTATATTCCAATTAAAAAAATGATGTGAAAAAGGGGAAAAAAAGAAGTTCAAACTTAGATTACCATATACATTTTTTAAGAGCCACTAATATATTTTTGTCATAGACTGATAGAACCAACCCAGAATATTAAACTTCTTTTACAAAGCTTTGGACTCACACGAACGAACCTTACAAACATTATGCCAAGTGTGTGCCAAGCGTGGGCTGTGTGCTGACAGTGCGGAGCCTGTTTGGGATCCTCTCTCTTCCTCTCTCTTTGCCCCTCCCCCACTCACGCTGTCTCTGTCTCTCTCAAAAATAAATAAACTTAAAGAAAAAAAGAATACCTAACAAAATAGTAAAATGTATTGCTTCAATTTTAATTTATTTTATCTAACTTTGTCATCCCTTTCCTGAAAATTCTGTGAAATACTCTGATGGAAAAAGAGAAGGAAAGAGGGTAAAGGAAGGGTCTCTACCACAGATCATCTCTAGTTCCTGCTCCCCCATATTTCTACAATGATGGAAACACTTTATACCTGTGCTGTTCAACACAGTAGCAAATTGCTACATCCGGCTAATGAATCCTTGAAATGTGGCTACTGTAAGACTGAGAAACTGAATTTTAACTGTATTTAAATTACTTTAAATTTTCATTTAAACATAAGTAGCCACATGTGGCTAGTGGCTATCATAATAGAGCAGTTTTAATGTTTATTTATTTTGGAGAGAGAGAGAGAGTGCAAGTGGGGGAGCGACAGAGAGAGAGAGAGAGAGACAGAGAGAGAGAGAGAGAGAGAGAGAGAGAGAGAGAGAGAGAAGAAGACACAGAATCCGAAGCAGGCTCCAGGCTCTGAGCCGTCAGCACAGAGCCCGACGTGGGGCTGAACTCATAAGCCATGACGTCGTGACCTGAGCCGAGGTCAGACACTTAACTGAGCCACCACGCACCCCCATAATAGTGCAGTTTTAGATGAACCAACACTAAATAAGTCTTACAACGACTATATATGTGTTATACGAAGAGTGACTCCAAAGATTACTGAAATGAAGTACACACGTTTAGCAGATCAATTAAAAGACAAAAGTCAACTTCACAAACTCACCTGGCCATCTTCCATTTTAGCTTTTGGATAGTTGAGGATTAGTTTTGTGGCTTGTTCCCACTTTGCATGTGTATCTTCCCAAGCCTAAAATGAAAGCAATTACCACTTGAAAGCAATTGTAAACTTAGGACTAAAAATCAATCAGCGATAGGTCTCAAACTTGGTGCATACTAGAGGTATAATATCCCACATGTAATATGCACATATGAATTAGATCTGCTTCAAAAGCCATTCCTTGTCTCTCACACACACACACACACACACACACGGGCGCGCACGTGCACACAACATGCGGCTTCTCCGATCGAGGGTGGGGCCTGGGGAGCTGTTTCTGTTGCAAAGAGCATACCTCCGTGTTTCCTGCAGTGGGGTGCTCGATGCGCCTGAGTAGTGCCATCACCCTTTTCTGAAGCGCTGCTCTTCCTAAGCAAAGACAACAGCACATCAACTCGTTGCACTTAGAGCCCTGAATGCCATGGGAGAGCCTGGCGGGCCAAACCCCCAAGGCAGAGTAGGAGGAGTGGAATGAATGCTTCCTGTGATAAAGGTGAATGCTTCCTTTTGCTAGCCTCACAGGAAAGGTATTTAACTTGGACTCTACAATATCCACAGCATAAAATAAGCTATTCCCACCTGTATTTACTCAAAACATAGGCCAGTGTGTTTGAAACTTCACCATATACAGTTCAGCCACAGTAAATTACACAATCTGAAACGGACAGTAATTTATACTGCCAGTTTTTAAACAATTGTACTGCGTATTAAAAGCTCAGTGAGAAGTTAACAATTTGTTTCAAATGCTATTTATTTTCACCCCATCTTATGTAGAAAAGGATTTCAGGTGAGCTTCTTGAATTAACTCTCTAAGCTTACCAAGCAGTTCCTACATTCCTGGCACAATCAGATGTCGTGTGACTCGAGGCAAACTGAGTGGCGGGGTGGGGGGACGTTATCCACACTTACCTGTTGACATCATATTGCTGACAGAGGCAAATTCCATGAATGTGTTATAGTTGGGCAAGAAGTTGTGCACCGACACTTCATCCACCCCACACCGGATATCTGCCTCCTCACAGAGGTGGCGGAAACAGGACATGGCAACCAGAACAGCTTCAGTGTCAGGGCTCCACAGAAACATGTACAGGGCCACTTCGAGTTTGGTCTGGGCCTGTCGGCATATCGGCGGTGTGCCGCTGCACCCTGCTGCACTATCCTGGGAGTCAGGGATGAGAGGCATTATGTTTGCAACTTAGGAGATTTTATTTATCAAATCCAACAATGCAACACACTGTGTACCATGTATGTGTGCGTTCAAGAACACGCAAAAGCTTTCCCCCGCAACCATGACAGGAATTTTCAAACCCCTAAACATCTTGTCTGAATGAGAAATGAGATGATTTGGACCAACATAATGCTACTATTTGTCCAATTTCAAATCGAATAGGTATTATCCTTACTTTAGATCCTAGAAATATAGATGAAGTCTAACGCAAACACAAGTAAAGTACCCGTGGCATAAATCTACTGAATGAAAAATGCAATGCACTTCAACTCAATTATAAATGACAAAGGAAGTAGTAAGAAATTCTATCTACCCACCAGTAGTAAGAAATAAAGTAAGTCCGCTGCAACAAGGACTAAAATAAGGGCACGGACAAGAACCGAATGTTGCTGTAGAAGATATACTTGGTTCTGGGTTACAGAGTCCCAAAAGGAATCCTCATTTACAACATGAATGTAAATTCTGCAGTCAACATAGACTGCAGTAAACACTATACTGCTTACTTGTTGTTTTTCCTCAACAGAAGGTTATGCTGAAAATTAGGGATAAAAGAGCTTTGGTCTGTACTTCTAGATTTTCAAGTCTAACAGTAAAATGCCAACGGTCAAGTGGACCAGCAAGATCTTCTGTGGAATATCAGTATAATCAAGATTCCTGCAGGCTATATATGGCAAAGATTAGGGAAGTTAACCTAATCCTACAACAAGGCTGTGAATACATGCTGCTGACCTTCCCATGAAAAAGGCAGACACTCATCGCCACTGATAAGGATTAAAGAAATGTACTCTCTAGATTGGTAGCTGTATCCTAAATGCCACAAATCGTGTTTTTAGGTTTTTAAGAGTAAAAAACAAAACAAAACAGGTTTGGTCTGGAAGAGACATTCTTTTGTCATGATTTGCTATTTTCACTTGTACTGTGATTTATTTTTAAAAAGAATTATGCACACAAACACAAAAAACACAGACGCTTATCTATTTCAAGCAAAATGCTTTATCTCCAGTAAATTTGTATTTTTGTTAGGTGGTACAACTTTTAAACTTCTGCGATATGAATGGTCCTTTGTACAGTAGAGGTTTATGATAATTGTAGCTCTCAGTTATAGCTTATCAATAAGTGTCAATCAATCAAGTGCTGTTTACACACAATCTCATTTAATCCTTCCAACACTTCTGGGACATAAATTGTTGTTATCCCCATTTTAAAGCTGATAAACTGGGTCACAGGGTTGTTAGGAACTTGCCTGAGGTTCCACAAAGATCAGTGATTGAACTAGAATCTAAGCAGTTCTTTACTACACTGTATCATCTAGTTGAAATTTACCAAAGTTCATTCAGGAAAAAACATACAGCACAGATGACAATAATACAGGAAAACTACAAAAGAAGCTGCTTACCATGGATGAGTTTCCTTTTCCCTTCCGAAGAGAGGCTCCAGGCGTACAAGTACGTATTAATTCTTCATGATCCATGGACATCTGACTGGTAGCTCCACTCGAAGGAACATCACATCCTACCCCGTAAAGGAAGAGAAAGTGACAGGAACTTCTATCTGCCTGCTAAAAAGAAGAAATAAGTAAGCCTTTCTGAAGCACTGATAATCAAGAAAACTAAATACATAATATGAGCTGTCTTTCTGTTTGCAACTATCCTGGAAAACTTCTCATCCCAACTCCTAATCCTTGAAGAATATTCACTAGAGACCCAATAGTACGAATAATGTTTGCTCAGTGTCTTTGAAGCTCCTCTTAGCCTTCCACCCTTCAAATCACCAGGAACAACAGGTTCTACAAATGCAAATTAACATTTCTAGATCTACCATGAGCACAGTTAAACATCAACAACATAAATCTACCATAGGAAAAATACAAGGTACTTCTCAGTCAATTACAAATGACGACAATTTTCTCCCCATAAGATTTTACCCTGTGCCATATCAGGATAATTGGAAGTTGACTCTTGACACTAAGTTCCTTTGGACCAGTAATTAACACTGGTAAATATGCCAAGCCTGTTGCAACTTTACTGACCAGAGTACTGCCGATTATTACTGGATTACTAATGCTTATACTCTGGAGAATTATACCATAGGCAAAGGTATGAAACCCTGAAGTCTAATCTTGTTCCTTATCTTTGGGATAATGCCAAATCCCACTATATTAACACACTAAGATAACCCTCATGTATAAAACCTAAATCACCATTAGCCCATTTCTAAACAAAGAAATTTAACAAGCTGCATGGTACACTGAAAAACATGAGTATAATATGTTTAAGATATCTTGGAGTTATTATTCTAGAAAAAGATAAAAATTCATTGAATCAAGAACTCCAAAAATTACACCATAATAGAAAAAAATTTAACTGACTACAGAAACTTTATGATAAAAGAAATTTAAAGCTCTTCTCTAACTCCCTAAAATCTTGTCCCCATACTTTAACAGTTCAGAATCAAGACTTTTCACTCAACCGTAAGGGAGAGGACTCAGATATTTGAAGAGGTGAAATTGTCACGGCAGAAATGTAAATAAACTTAAAGACCCTTAACCTCTTTCCTTAAGTTTCTTGACAGATAACTGGACTAGCCTAAACCATAAGATTCAAGTCTTATGCACAAACTTGAGACAAGATAGAATATGTTTCTCAATCTAATTTGGTTATAGCAGCCCCCACTCCTCCTCGGCCTGCCCCATAGAGTCCTGTTGAACTCAACTGGAATTTATCAAGATTGCAACTTCAAGGACAGAGACTCAACAATTTTTAAAATGTTAACTTCTCAGCCATTATCCTCTGCACACATATTTCCCTTTGAAGACACCGTAGGCAGAAAAAGCTAAAGTAGGACTTAATTTGGCTAATATACATTTTCTTAATCTCTTCCCATTTACCCCAAAATAGGCTTCCATTTTAAAGATGTCACTTTGCTTACCTTATTTTTAAGAAGAAATTTATTCCTGCAGATCAAAATTTCCCGCAACCATTTGAGAATTTCTGTGCTGCTAAGCATTTGATGGCTAGTTAATTTCTTGCAGATGTAAAAAAGCATTTGAGAGCTGCAATAGCATAAAGTTTGTGGTTATCAGTATCATCGATAAATAACCTAACAGAGGTACAATCAGTACATAAGAATGACATTCTCTCATAATGGATATAAATATACAGAAGCTAGGATTTTGTTTTAAAGAAATTGATTCTCAAAATGTTAATAGCACGATAATCAAAGGGAAGAGGTCTACAAATTATGTTAAAAAAAAAAAAAAAGCAAGCAACTCTAAATCCTCCAATCCCCAAACTCCCAAGTGTTTCATCTACGCATCTCATCTTTGCAGAAGACTCAGAAGAAATGACAGCCTACGTGCACAGCATAGGCTGTATGTAAACCCAGTGCTCTAGAGCAGGGATCTGCAAACAACTGCCTGTAGACCAAATCCGGTCCATTATTTGCTTTCCATAAATAAAGTCTCAGTGGAACGTGGCCACACCCATTCATTTACATACTGTCTATGGCTTTCGCTTTCGTGCTCTGACAGTGAAACTGAATAGTTCAGACAGAGACTATCTGGTCCACCAACCTATGATATTCACTACCTGACCTTTTAGACAAAAAATTTGCTGATCCCCACTCCAGAGTCATCATATTGTCCAACTGTACCCACTAGCCAGCCACATGTGACTAATGGGCACTTGAAATGTGGCTTGCCCAAACTGAGATGTGCTGTAAGTGTGAAACACAACCAAATTTTGAAGACTTGACGGAAAAAAATAATGCAAGATATCTCAATAACTTTTATATTGATTATATATTGGAATAATATTCTAGCAATAGAAGCTGGGTTTAAAAATATTATTAAAATTAGTAATACCTTTCCTTTACACTCTGTAATGCAGCAACCCAGAAAATTTTAAATTAGGTATGTGGTTCACATTACATTACTATTCAAGATCACTGCTCTGTGTCTAGGATTTAACTCAGCTGCCAGGGAAGACAGTGCACCCACTTCTATGATGAGATAATGACAAAATACACCTAAGGATTACACATTTCCATTTTTCTCAATGTGTTGCCTTTGTGCTCTTTAAAAGATCATAATTTATACAACCCAGGAAATAAATTATAAAATTCTGTATATATTTTTACCTTCTAAACAGATGTTCATTATTTTTTAAAAATATTTTTGAGAGAGAGAGAGAGACTGAGAGACAGAGACAGAACGTGGGCAGGGGAGGGGCAGAGAGAGAGGGAGACACAGAATCTGAGCTGTCAGTACCGAGCCCAAAACACGGGGCTCGAACTCACTAGCAGTGACATCAGGACCTGAGCTGAAGTCAGATGGTGAACTGACTGAGCCACCCAGGTGCCCCTAAACAGATGTTCATTATTAATTCACTTATCAAAATTATTGGTATTATGGAAAATTTATGAAAGATCATAGTTTTAAAAAGGGAAATAAATGATTAACATCATATAATTTTAACACTCTAAGCTCATATTTCTAACAATTTAGTACACAGTTGTAACTACATGGAAATCTGGAACATAAGAGAAAACACTAAGTAACAGTACTTATGGTTGGGTAATAATATTTAGCACAATGTTTTAAATTTTACTTTCTTGGAGCACCTGGGTGGCTCAGTTGGTTAGGTGACTGACTTTGGCTCAGGTCGTGATCTCGCAGTTTGTGAGTTCGAGCCCCACGAAGGGCTCTGTGCTGACAGCTCAGAGCCTGGAGCCTGCTTCATATTTTGTGTCTCCCCGTCTCTCTACCCCTCCCCTCCTCATGCTCTGTGTCTCTCTGTCCCTCAATAATAAACATTAAAAAATAAAAAAATATATAAAAAATTTACTTTCTAAATTGCTGTGACAACAATTCTTACAGTTAAAACAAGAATCTAATTAATAATTCAAGACAAATAAAATACAAGATCATAAAACCTCTATAAAGTTTCACAACTGACCAAGTACTACAGAGTTAATATCTAAAGACAAAAAATAAATGCAAAATAAAACTTTAACTTGAATTAAAAAGTTAAAGTACATATACCTAATTTCCCAAAATGTTTCCACAGGAGCATCAGGATTCCACAAATCAATGCTATCTAACTGATGAAGAACCAGCAGAGCCTGAATTTTAAAAAAGAGAGAGAATTACTCAAAAGTTTTTTGGTAAATGTAACACTGGAATATTTATTTTACAAATCTAATAAATCGAGCTATTTAATTGCAGCCTCAACACACAGTAAAAGGCAAAAGAAAAAGACTAAAGAACCCAAATCTCTAGGGAATAATATATGTAGAATAAAATCATTTTATTCTATCATTCTTACTTTAAATGGCATATAGAGACCCAGTTAAATGACGGACGAATTCAGAGGAGCAATATACACATATAAAAATTGTTTTAAGACACAAACTAAGTCATTTCAATAAGTGTTAAAGAACTCAGTGGAACAACAAAAAGTTAATCTCCAAGTAAGGAGAGCTCACCAAAATTAATACACACAACAATATTTTACTTCCAGGGTGAAAGGTAAAGTAGAAGTTATTCTGCTCACCGCAAATTCTTTTGGAACAGAAAAGATCAATTATTTTCCAAAGAACAAGGGCAGGGGAAGCAAAACAGACTTCACATTTCAGAGCAGGTTATTCATTCTTACATACTCCTATAGACCACAGAATTGAAGTTGGAATTTGGCTTACAGAACATTAACAAGAATTAAAGAAGTCACGTAAAATATACAGCTAATATACAAAAACACCATTATGAAGTAACGAAAACCATCGTAGTACAAAGTGTACCCCAGACTCTTCCTTGGAACCAGCCCCAACTCCAGTTCCACGTGGCATCCCCCAGAGACACCCCACTGAGCTACGTGTATTCTTCTCAGTCCTTGGTCAGTGTATTTGGTAATTCTTTTTTTTTTTTAATTTTTTTTTCAACGTTTTTATTTATTTTTGGGACAGAGAGAGACAGAGCATGAACGGGGGAGGGGCAGAGAGAAAGGGAGACACAGAATCGGAAACAGGCTCCAGGCTCCGAGCCATCAGCCCAGAGCCTGACGCGGGGCTCGAACTCACGGACCGCGAGATCGTGACCTGGCTGAAGTCGGACGCTTAACCGACTGCGCCACCCAGGCGCCCCTGTATTTGGTAATTCTTGAGCCCCTTGAAAGCCTTTTATTGAAACTCCCAACAAGACGCTGTTCAGAACAAATTATGAAAACTGATTTCTTCTCTCAAAATAGCAAATCAAATGTGTAAACCGCTGGTATGTGCATCGAAAACCTGCCTTACATTAGGAAAGGATACATAAATGTCTAACCTCAGATGACTTTATAACTCCAAAACATAAATTATATCAGGACCAGACCTATATTATCCTGTTTTATTGTAATTACTTTTAGATATATAATGAAAACTTCAATTCATTGTGAGAATCTTCAAAAATTATAGTTTATACCTCTCCTAACAAGAAAAAACCACACAAATTAACATCCAATTGTTACTATTGTGTAAAAACAATATAGTTTGCTGACACTTTAAGTAGCCAATTCTCTATATTTTTGTTTGAAGAAATACTTTTTAAAGTAATGAAAGACAATGGGTTAGCCTTTTCCCCTTAATATGATTGCTTCCCTTATCGTGTTCCCTTCCATTTTATTCCCTACATGTATTCTAACAAAGCTGTAAACATAGTGTACTCATCTGACATTTCCTAAATATCTTTCCATGTTGCCATGTGATTGGCATGTTTCAATGGATATTTAGCCATTTACCATTGTGTCATTGAGGACTGACCTGCTCTCTCCCTAGCGCATAGTTTAAGTTCTCCTAGCGCCCTATTATCAGCTACAGCAATAAGCATACACGTATGTGTAGCTTCTTCCTTTTGTATTCAGAGGATGAAACAAAAACATTACAGGAATGGAATTATTTGGACAAAAATTAGGTATCTGCACACCTTCTGCCAAATACCATCAAACAGCCTTCCAAGAAGTATGCAAGCGTGTACCCATTTGTAGGTCCAACAGCAACGTACACAAACACAAGCAATGAGTGAAACGCTGAATGCTAAAATATATTTGGTAACATAAAACATACAATACAAAGGGTAAAGTAGGAAATCTTAAGTGTATACATGCTCAAAGAAGTTTTACAAATGTATATACTCCATGTAACCATTACCTAGACCAACACTGTCAGTGCCTAGAAGCCCTTTTCGTGTTCCCTTCAGTCATTACTCCTTAACAAAGGGAGCCACCGTTCTGACTTCTACTGCCACAGACTACCTTTGCCTGCTTGTCATTTATATAAAGGGAATCACACAGTATGTTCCCTTTTGTGTTTGGCTGTTCTCACTGAACATTATGTTTGTGATACTGATTCATCCATGCTCAGCATTTAGCAATAGTAGCCCATTCTTTTTTCATTGCTGTAATCAATGGAATGAATATAACCAAAATTATCTGTTCTATATAGATATATTTGAGGTATTTCTAGGTTTTTGGGGGGGATGGCTGTTACAAATTATATTGCCATTAATATTTTTGTATGTGTCTTTTGGCAAGCATATAGAATTGCTAGATCACATGTTTACTTTGTAGATACTGCAAAACAATTTTTAATGGTAGTTGTACTAATTTACATTCCTGCTAGCAGAGTATGAATGAACACATAGTCATTTGATATTTCATAAAACTTTTTATTATTGATTTCTAAGTTAATTATACTGTAGTCACAAAAAAATTCTGAATGATTTCAATTGTTTAGAATTTGTTGAGACTTACACTTTACGCTCAGGATACATTCAATGTTCCATGCATACTTGAAAAGAAAGTGCATTTACTGAGTGTCACATTCAATGTACGTCACACAGTTCGTATCTGATAATTATGTTGTTCAAGTCTTCCATCCTTACTATCTTCTTGACTTGTTTATTCTATTAGATTCTGAGAAAAGTGTGCTCAAGCATCCGACTAAAACTAGATTTGTCTATCTCTACTTTTACTCCATATATTTTTAAATATTTTGAAGCTTTGTTTTTAGATTCATATAGTTTTATATTCTGGATAGATTGGACACCTTTGCAATCATGAGATGTCCCATGTTATCTCCAGTAATGCTTCTTGCTTTAAACTCTGTATGTTACTCCAGCTTTCTTGAGTTCTGTTTGTGTAGCATATTTTCCTATCCTTGGACTATCGAACTTCTGGTGTCTTTATACTTATGCTATGTCTCTCATAAAGACCACAGAGTAAGATTTTTGCACTCTTTGGTATTCACCAGAGAGAAATAAAAGCATATGTCTACACATAAGTTTGTACACACATGTTCCTAGAAGTTTTATTTGTAATAGCCAAAAACTAGAAACAACACAAATATCAACAAGTAAATGGATAAATAAATTATGCTACGGCCACACAGTGGAATACTATATAGTGATAAAAAGGAATGTGGTTTTTTTTTTTTAAAGGGACTATTGATACATGCAGCAACCCAGATGAATTTATGATGACTATGCAGAGTTAAAGAAGATAGACAAAAAGAGTATATAGTTTATAACTCCATGTATATAAAATGCATATTAACCTATAACAGAAAGCAGATCAATGGTTGCAAGGGAAGCAGGGGAGCAGACAGGGACAAAAGAGGAGGAAGGAAGGAAGGGAATACTGAGACGCACAAGATAACTCTCAATGATGGATATGTTCGCCTAAATGGCCATTAACAAGTGAATAAACTGCTTTCATCTCAAACGGAATACCTACCAACAATACAAAAATTTTTTAAAATTAAAAAAAAAAAAGAAGTAACTAACACATGTAATATCATGAACAAATCTCAAACACTTGGGAGTCAAAGAGGCCAGACAAAAAGGAATATACAGTCTAAGATTTCATTGAGATGAACTTCCACAACTGGCAAAACTGATCTATGACAGAAATCAGACCAGTGGTCTTTGGCACAGGGAGTGGGATCATAAGACACATGAGAACTTTCCAGGGTAACTAGAAATATTCTAAATCTTGTATGATTTTATTACATGTAAATTACACCTCAATAAAATTGATTTAAATTAAAACCATATTTAGCAATCAATATAAAAACAATTTTTTTTTTAAGTCAACTCTGTTCACACCCACTAGGATGGCTATAATCCAAAACACAGACAATAACAAGTATTGGCAAGGATGTAGAAATAGAACCCACATACACTGCTAATGGGAATATAAAAGGATACAGTCGCTTTGGGAAACAGTTTGGTCACTCAAAAAGTTACACAGTTACCATATGACCCTCCAATTCCACTGGCAATATATCCACAAAAAACCTTTTACACAAATGTTCATAGCAGCATTACTCATAATAGCCAAAAAGCAGAAACAATACCAAATGTGCTCAGCTAATGAATAAACAGAAGGCCCTATGTGTACACACTGGAATATTATTTGGCAATAAAAAAGAATGAAGTATTGATTGACACAGGCTATACCATGGAGGAACCTCGAAAACATGAAAGAAGCCAGACTCAAAAAGCCGCATATTTCATGAGTGTATTTATGTGAAATGGCTAGAATAAGCAAATCTATGAAGACAGCAAAGGGATTAGTGGTTGCCAGTGACTGGGGTAACAGGAGGATGCAGAGTGGCAGGGTTTATTTTGGAGTAACGAAAATGTTTCAGGATTAGTGGTGATGGCTGCACAACCTTGTGAATATACTGAAAAACACTGAATTGCACACTTTAAAATAGTAAACTTTATGGTATGTGAATTAGATGCAAATTCAAAATTCAATACATATTTTAAAACAATTCCAAAAGGTCAACTGCAATTAGAAAAATCTGAGGGTTTAAATTAAGCATCATAATTTGCACAACATTTTTGCTACATGAGATATACAGCAATTAAACCTTTTCCTTCTCCAGAGTTCATAAAACAGCATACAGACACAAACACACTTCTAGAAATGCCATCTCTCTCTGACAGATGTCCAGAAATGACATCATAGAAACCACACACCAAAGAAACATGAAGAACATATACATTTACAAGCTTTCCTTCAAGAGCCCAGAATTCATTTCCCCTTACCTCCATTGCCTCCTGTGCGATCTCTGGCATGTGTGACTGAGGGACCAGCTGGACGAGCCCTGTAATTAATTCCGCTGTACTGCCTTGGGTTTCAGGCCCCTGTTTCCTTGGATTCTGCAAGGGAAAAAAAGCAAGCTTCAATTTAAAAAAATGTATCTATCACCTAACAGGGGCCAGAGAGAAAAGGGAATGGAGAGTGAATGCTGATGGGTACACTAAGCTTCTCTTTAGGGTTATGACAATGTTCTAGAAATGTTCTAGAATTAGATAGTGGTAATGCTGCAGAATCTTGTAAATGTACTGAAACCAGTAAATTGTACACTTTAAAATAGTGAATTTTATGGTATGTGTATATCTCGATAAAATAACAATTGGGGAATTTTTTAAAAGTCAGAACTGCTTTTGTTAAGGAGTCGCTTAATCTACAGCTATACTGTTCCTTCATGTGAATAATGTCCAGAGAAAATTCTGATTAAAAGAAAACAAAAACTAAGTATTAGCTTTTTAATTAAGAAATCATACCTTATATATAAGGAGCAGGTAATTTTTTTCACCAACACTACACTGGCTAAATACTACACCTCTGGTTTGGAGCTTACTGGTTTTAATCTTACAAATGACTGCACTCAAAGGCAAAGAACAGGTCCGGTCTAGTAGAAAGGACCGCCCTAGGCCGTCCAAGGCTGGAATCCACACCTCCAGATACCCACACTGCAGTCTGTTTCATTGTGGAAAAACGCTGGGTACTAAGCAAAGCACATCCACGGGGTACATAAATGCACATGTCTACCTTAAGAGACTAAAATGCTTCCTGTAGCTTGGATGCAACTATTTACACTTCACGAACATATGGCTCATTTAAGTGAGACCAATACAACCTGTGTCCCTATTTTATTTTACTAACTAGATTCTTTCCCGCCATAATGATTAAGGTAAGCCCTCATCCCGGAGTATAATTCACAACTGTTAGCCTACTTTATAAAATTTATATTCGTTCACAAATAACTCAGTAACATTTATTGAATACCAAAGACATAGCAAGTTGAAAAGATGTGTTTCTGGGGCACCTGGGTGGCTCAGTCAGTTGAGCATCCAACTCTTGATTTCAGCTCAGGTCATGATCTCATGGTTTTTGAGATTGAGCCCCACATTGGGCTCTGCACTGAGTATGGAGCCTGCTTGGGAGTCTGTCTGTCTATCTGTCTGTCTCTCTCTCTCTCCCCCCTCCCCTGTGCATGCATGCACACTCTCTCTCTCAAAATAAATAAATATTTTTAAAAAAGTGTTTCCTACCCTCTTGGAACATGTAATCTCGTGGGAAAAACAAACATCAATAAAATAACTAGACCAACAACTGTAAAACTGCAAATGAGATAAGAACTACGAAGCTACAAGCTGCTATGAGCACCGTGATAGAGAAATGAGGCACAATTTCATGGAGGCTTCCTTAGGGCAGTGATCACAGCTCAAAATTAGCAGGAATTACTATTGTAAAGAGGAAAGAGAAGTGTATCATAAGCAGAAGAAACAGCAGGGGCAGGTATGAAGGAATGTGGTAAGATGGAATGAACAGACCATCATGACTACAGAAAAAAGAGAAAGAAAAATATAATGCTAGATGTGGCAGAAGGGGCAGGTAGGAGTCAGACTCTGCATGCCCCTGTAGGTCTCTTTGGAGACCAAAAGGTCTTTATTCCAAGAGCAATTTCAACTAACACATGTTAAGCTGGGCAAAAGGCATGATAAGATTTGCTTTTCAAAGAGATCACCAGACCTTTAGTGGCAGAGAAATGTTTAGAGGGAGGTAGGAGAGGATGTTAGCTGGACAATTAGGAGGCTAGACAACATGAGAGTAATATGGATTAGGGTAGAGATGAAAGATATTAAATTGTTACTTTAAAAATACCATGACTGACATCACTTAAGTTACTCCTACATTTCTCCTATTTACTAAGATTTAAATAGAAAATACTTAAGTATACAGTGAATCTACTTTAACTTACCTTTGGTTGCGCTGAGAAAGTTGCCTAACCACTAGATGGCAGCAAAGAGAATAATTTCAATTTTAAACGGACTCTGCTTACTAAATTCCAATCTTGGAAAAGACCAAGTTCTTGTTCTTTGAATAATGGAATACTTAACACTGACGGCACTCGTGACTTTGGCGCATTCTTCACCCTGAATTATAGCCATGCAGAGAGCTGGTCCTCTATTAAGTGAAATGCATGATGAAATATTACCACAAATAACTTGTGCTACACACAAAGACATGAGGAGAAAGGGGATTTGATTACCTTTACTGTCTCCCTGGTAAGATTTTGTGAAATTTTCCATGCCTAATTCTAACAATTTATTCTACTAGACTCCCAAATTTGGATGGGCTTCTCAAAGAGTTCAAAATATGACAGGCCTTCCTTTGGCATTATTAATCCCTTTAGAAATTCTGTGTGTGTGTCTCTCCCCTCTTATTTCTCTGCAGAAAAAAAAACACTCATTACACTTTTTTTTCATTGAAGGGGTTCACAGAACTCTTGAAAATACGGACATCGAATTATGAACTCCTATATGTAGTAATTTGGAAGCACCTTAGCACTTATAAAACCTACTGCTAAACAAAGCAGCAAGAAATCTTTCTGGATGCTGCTCTCCAGAGACTGGAGAAACTTCAACAAAGCTTAAACATGTTATTCTATGACCTGCACAATACATAACTGTCATACTTGGGGCATTAATAACATTACTATTGATGTCAACTGCATTTTATTAATAATAATAATAGTTAACATTTATTTAGTGCTTATTATGCATTTATTAAACGTTATTCCTAAAAGCACGAGTGTACTATCTCAAGCTTTACAATCTGAGATAGGTACTATTATTATCATTATGAGAAAACTAAGAGAGGTTAAGTCACCCAAATCACATAACTAGTCTGTCTCTAGAGCCCATGCTTTTAACCACTTCATGTAACTATCACTCATTTACCTGTTCGTTCCCACTTACTGTGTACCACAGTATTGCCCTCAGGAATGCCATCTGAGGCTGCAAAAGCAGTTAGGATAAAAATTAAGTGCTAACCATACCCAATCCCATCTCCTTCTCCTTCCAATACAGTATTTCCAGGCAAAGCCAGTGATAACAGGTTGATGACAGGAAGAAAGGGAAATAAAAAAACCTAAAGGGTTTGGCAATAGCAACTGGATACTTAAAAACCAACTATGACCACGAGAAAGCACTCGGATTTATGGTTGCTTCATTACCTCCACCACCACCCCAGCATAATGTCTAAATAATACAAACCTGGTAACAGAGTAAAGAAAGAAGATCTCACAAAAACATGCTAGTTTAATGAAAAGGAAAACTGAGGAAAAGGGTAAGAAATCTGATCTAATTATATTGGTATCAGAGAAATGTAACTTCTAAGTTAGTTTTCTTTTTTTTATTTTATTTTTTTATTTAAAAAAAAAATTTTTTTTTCATCGTTTATTTATTTTTGGGACAGAGAGAGACAGAGCATGAACGGGCGCGGGGCAGAGAGAGAGGGAGACACAGAATCGGAAACAGGCTCCAGGCTCCGAGCCATCAGCCCAGAGCCCGACGCGGGGCTCGAACTCACGGACCGCGAGATCGTGACCTGGCTGAAGTCGGACGCTTAACCGACTGCGCCACCCAGGCGCCCCGAAGTTAGTTTTCTTAAAGGTGTCTTAGGTTTCAAGCATGAGCAGAAAGGGTCAGTGAGTGTTATTTAGCTAATAATGATCTCCAAGGTCTTGGCATTTCACTTAAACCAAATTAAGTTATTGTAGTAATTTCAAGACCTCTCGTATAAAATACTTACACAAAGCAAGAGCTTTGGATCCGCATGAATGAGTTTCACCATGGACAGGAGAAGATACTTATAGCTTCTTGTCTCCAGGTCTGTAGGTTTTTCTTTAAATTTAAGGCTTGTTACTTTTTCTTTAAATGTAAGACTCTACAAATAAAAACAAAAACATGTCATCACCTTGTAAGAATCAGATATCAGGTTAACAAAAATAGCTATCTAACTTTTTAAAAATAAATCTATTATTAAAAAGCTTTGAAAAAGCAGACATTTTATACCACAGATGTATGTGTGGTAAGAGTAGAAACATCTGAGTAAGTATAAGGTTAATATTATTAAGCTTAAAAAACAAATGAAAATTGGGACAGTGCCTGGGTGGCTCAGTTGGTTAAGTGACCAACTCTTGATTTCAGCTCAGGTCATGATCCCAGCCAGGGTTGTAGGATCGAGCCCCACATTGGGCTCTGCACTGAGCAAGAAGCCTGCTAAGGATTCTCTCTCTTTTCCTCTCTCGCCCTCTGGAAGGATTCTCTCTTGCTCTCTTGCCCTCTGTCCCTCTCCCCCATGCTCTCTCACTCTCTCTCTCTATATTAAAATAAAATTTCTGAGAACAAACTGAGGGTTTATGGGGGGGGGTAAGAGAGAGGGGAAAGTGGGTGATGGGCATTGAGGGGGGCACTTGGGATGAGCATTGGGTGTTGTATGGAAACCAATTTGTCAATAAATTATATTTTAAAAATAAAAATAAAATAAAATTCAATTTAAATAAAAAACAAATGGAAACTATTTTTGTAACATTCATATTATTCTTATATAATGTATTTAATAAAGTTTAAATGAAAATTCCTTAAAATACTAAACACTTTAATATCAAGTTGACTCCTATGTAGAAGAACAATTTTCCAAACTGTAGACACATTAGGGATAAAATATTTAGTCTATAGCTCTCACAAATACATACTTTGAGCAATTCATTTAACATTTATCCCACACAAATATACACAAATATTTCAGACAATCTATGACATTAATTTAACTAAGATGCATCATTAATGTACCACAAGAAATGAAAAACCACTGTCAACTCTAAGACACCAAATAAGATGTGTTCCCAATTTCAGAGATGTTAAAAACTAAAGCGCTTCTTAGAATTGATGAAATATGCTATATAGTCGGTCTCTGTACTTAATAGTTTAATGGTAAATTCTGCTTTTTCCTTCAATGGCATTCCATCTCTCTTGAGTTACTAAATGCATGTATTTTGCCTGAAGAACATTGATAAAACAAAGAAAGAAGGCTTTGACAAAGATAAATCATGAAAAACGTGCTTCAATTACAGAGATACTGCGGTAGATGCTGTGCTGATATCATAATTATGCCTGTTACTCAATGAAAAATCCAACAATTATATTCTGGATACACAACCACCTCTTTCTATTGTTATAAATCATTTCCCCCTTTTCTTTAAAAGGACATAAAATATCTAGTTTTGACACATATGCCTTTATTTATTAATACTTTTAGTTTAAAAATGTCTAGTTTTAGGTGTATAACATAGTGATTTAATATTTATACACATTACAAAATGGTCACCACAGTAAGTCTAGTTACCATCTGCCACCATAGAAAGTGGTTACAATATTATTGATTATATTCCTTATGCTGTGTATTCCAGCAAGTCTTACTTATTTTATAACTGAAAGTATCTCTTAATCCCCTTCACTTGTTTCGTTGATCACTCCACTGCCCTCCCATCTGCCAACCATCAGTTTGTTCTCTGTACCTATCAGTCTGTTTTGTTTTTTAGATTCCACATACAACTAAAATCATATGATATTTGTCTTTCTCTGACTTATTTCACTTAGCATAATACCCCCAGGTCCATCCATGTTGTTGCAAATGGCAAGATTTCATTCTTTTTTTATGGCTGAATAATATTCCAGAGTGTGTGTGTGTGTGTGTGTGTGTGTGTGTGTGTGTGTGTGTGCATACACACAACTACATCTTCTTACCCACTCATCTATCAATGGACACTTAGGTTGCTTCCATATCTTGCTATGGCAAATAATGTTACTACGAACATAGCAGTGCATGTCTTTTCAAATCAGTGTTTTGCTTTCTTCACAAATAAATACCTAGGAGTGGAGATACTGGACTGTATAATATCTCTATTTTTAATTTTCTGAAAAACCTCCATACCATTTTCCATAGGCTGAACCAATTTACATTGTGACCAACAATGAACAAGGGTTCCCTTTTCTCCACATCCTTGCCAATACCTGTCATTTCTTGTCTTTTTTCTAATCAGTCTGACTAGTGTGAGGTGATATGTCATTGTGGTTCTGATTTGCACTTCCTTGATGTTTAGTGATGTTGAGCATGTTTTCATATGCCTGTTGGGTGCCTGTATGGCTTCTTAGGAAAAATCGCAAATATACAGATAACAGGATATTCAGCAGCTATGAACACATAATAAAAATGTCCAAGTAAATAGGCTGTCCTTCAAAGGTAAAAAGCAGAGATGCACATCTGTAACACACAGCCACAATTCTCCACGTCTAAGTGTAAGACGCATTTGTTAGTATAACTGAGGACACTGAAGGGTTCTGGTCCTCAAAGGGGAAGAACTACTACCTAACATCCACATCAATGCTCAAGAATATCAATATAGAAAGGAAATAGCAAAACTCAGAAATACTGTTTGCTTGCATATTTATATTCCCACAGCAAATATCTTACCAAATGCATTTAATCAATTCTGTTTTTACCATTTGTTCCCATTAAACTTTATTCTTTCATTCTAAGTCATGCTAACACCTTAGATCAAGGTGATCAACTCTCATGGAACAAATATTTACTAAGATGTAACTAAGTGCAACTGTTCTTCCCTGACACAACCAAGTGCACAGGAACACAGATCAGAGAACAATTAACAGATTTAATAATTATCTTTTACTCGGTAATCATTTTCTAACAGTAAATAATAGTTTAATTATGTCATTTTTTCATCTCAGGAATCAGCATATAAATTTTGTTCCAGCACTGACTTGAAAAGGTTAAATAAAGTTTTCAATTCAAATACCTTTTAATTAATGGACATTAGGGGGTTCTATAAAAGGCGGAACAGCATGCTAAAGAAGAAATACATTTTTAACCAGAAATGTAAAAAAAAAAAAAAAAAATTATCCATCCATTAATTTATTGACCTTCCATCCTGCAGATATTAGTAAGAATCCAACATAGTACACGCACTTTGGCCAAAGAAGAGAAGCAGTCGCGCCCAGGAATAAATTCATTAATCAGAATATGTAGCTGTCTATTAAGGGCCCAAACCATTTGTTACCTTATTTAAGACTATGACTAAATTATAGGCATGTAAGAGCATATCTCCTTTAGAAGCAAAATGTGCAGTAATTACACATATTTGTGAAAACTCATACAGCTATCATTAATAGGCTACCCGAGTTTCAAAACAGTAAACGATTAGTGCTAAGAAAAATATTTCAAACTTTTAAAAATATTACCAAAGTATAAAATGGAGAAGCTATGGCCCATTGTGTATATGTTAAGGCTAAAGAGTTTAAGTGATGAAGAGCTCAATCTAAGAAAACAATGTAATCTTAGACTATATTATTAGTAGAATATGTGTATGCAGACACAGCAGGTTAATGGCATTCTTCAATTATACCACATCTGCAACACTAAAAGCGGATCTTCATATGTCATTTTAATTGGGAAAAAAAAATGTTAGCTTGAATCCTTTCCAGAAGAGAAGCAGAAGAGGAGAGGTTTAAAAGCAAATCAGGAAAGAAATTACTTCACTCATTCAACACATATGCACTAAATGCCTACTACGTGCCAGATAGCATTCTGGGGGCGCCAGGAACCCAGTGCTGGACAAGCCAGATGGAGCTCCTGCTTTGATCAAACTAATGCACTAATGAGGTAAGACAGCTAAAGAACTGGACAGGCATTGGAAAGAATGTCAATTATTCACTAATCATGACTATCTGTCATTCACTAAACATTTTATGTGCCTCAGTTTCCTCAGCGGTAAAAACAGATCAAACAGCACGTGTGTGCATGTGCGCACACGCGCGCGCGCGCACACACACACAAGCTTTTAAAGAAAGCTGAAATAATTAAACCCTTCCCAATTCTAAAGTCATATTTAAAAAAAGAAACCTTAGCAGTTCAAGATAACTTTACTGAAATATCTGCAGTGCTGTCCTATGGAAGAAGCAGACACAACATCTGGGGCAATGCAAATGAGGACAACGCACTGAACATATCATGTTAACACAGTGGTTTTCAACTGGGGGCAGTTTTGTCTCCCGAGGGATAACTGGAAATGTCTGGAGACATTTTTGCTTTTCAAGACCAGCAGCCAGCAGGGTGGTGTTACTGGCATGTAGTGGTAGAGGCTAGAAATGCTGCTAAACATTCTACAGAACACAGGATAGTCCCCTACAACCGTCTCCTACAACATTTAAAAATACCAACAGTGCCAAGGTTGAGAAACCCTGATGTCACACATTTAAACCATTTATTACAAATTTCCTATGTTTCGGGCTTGAGGGCCACCTGTGGTGAGCTCTTTATTAGAAGTGCTCAAGCAAGAGCTACAAGACTGGCATCTCTGTGAGGGTAAGTGCCTTGTCTTTTTAGCTCATCACGCTTCCCTGGTGTTAACACTATGCCCGGCAGCTTATGGGAGAGCTCAGAATTTCCACATTTACTGTCTGACTGTTCACAGCACCAGGTTTAAAAGGGAAAAGATTCACCTTAAAGATCATCTCAATAGTAAAATTTTATTATTCTAAAAAATTATTTCAGATTAAATTTGTTAATTAATTTTCCCGGTAAGAATATCAGGCAGAAAACCCTCCTTCGGCCACTATGTATAATTTCATACACACATATAGTACATATTCATACACATACATACACACAAAATTTCATATATAATTATATGAAAGTAAACAGCTTAAGAATGATTTCACAAATCAAATGTATACTGACACCTTCAGAGAATAATAGGAAATAAAAACTCAATTCTTATCATAGGTGTCCTTGGACCAAAAGAAATCTAGCTGTGGTTTTCATGAACTTTCAGTACTACAGTATGTTGCTCCTGGAATCAGTTAATAAGTAAGGCTAAGATGTAAAATAACTTCTAAACGTAGGGAACATTTTCAGACTACCAGTCAAATTTTGTCTTTGTTCAAAGGACTAATTTCGTTTCACTTTCTTTCAGTCCTCATGCACAGGAAGTGAAACTGCAGATGGCTGGTAAAGTGGATACTGAAGTTAAAGTGGAAGTGACTATTAACTTTCTACCAGTTTCTACTATTGAAGGCCATTAATTTTCTGCCCAAAGAATTAGAAACTTTAAAAAGTCAAAGTTCTATTTACTATAGGATATCTAGAACGAATTAATTGTTAAACAATTATTTTAAGTCATTTTTCAAGACAACTTGTAAAACGATGTCTAGTTATTTAACATTTAAGTAACTATTATTTATGTTTACCTCCAATTAACTTAGAGCGAAATTTTCAATTTTTTAAAAAACTAAGTAGTTGGCATCACAAAAAGTCAACTAAAAATAGTTTGTGTTTTATTTATTTTATTGACTAAAACATAATTTCCATGTTCTTTGGCTATAATTTTTTAGACTAAATAATCCTAAAGTATTCAGTATAGCAAACGTCTCTATTTGAACATCTGAGATAAATAATCCTCAGAAACAACTACTGACAACTGGATAAGAGTGAACTACAATTGTATTGAACCAAAATATTTTATTGACTAAGGAAACTTGGGAAAAGAGGAGAAAGCTATTTAAATTATGAGTGTGAAATGGCTAACTTACCAGAAAAAAATTTTTACCAATTTTTACCAAAAAATGTTTTACCAATAGGTAAAAACGTGCTATGTTTTCATTTGAAATGACATGATGTGACTATAACAGTAACTATACACAGAAAAGTCAAAGAAACCAAGGACTTTTCTGAGGTAGTTACAATGGATCATACTTACAGCCACAGAAGCCCACTGCCATGCAAAACAGTGACTGGTTGGCATCTGATCATGTGAGCGACAGCAGCCAATAAGAACAGAAAATAAGAAGCAGAAGACAAAGCACCACCAATCAATGTCAAGAGTTGCCATGTAGAATACTCTTGCTATACATAAATACCAAGAAATGACTTCTATGATCCTGTAACTGTCTGTTTCAATTGGTTCCATACGAGTTTTAAAATTCCATTTAAGAATACTAATCTGTTAGAATACCTCATTTGAAAAGACTCTTTTTACTAAATTTAAACATGAACTTCAGTATCAAAGTGCCTATCATTTGCTGAATGATAGCACATTTGCTGAAATATGAAATATTTTATTTTAGATAAAAATGTTTCATTTTATTTCTAATTTCCTATGTGCCGTGTCCAGCATCCAGTGGGCAAAAACGGTGTAGAAACATTCACTCTAACCCAGGAGTCAGCTTCCCTACTCATCCCCAAAGATGAAGAGCAAACCAAAATATTTTGATTCGTAAGGAAAAGTTACAGCAAAAAGAAAGTAAGGGAAAAAAAAAAAAGGAGAATGAAAGAAAAAGAAATTAAGATTTTTAACAGCATTTTGTGGGAAAATTTCTCTAAGAAAAACAAGTTCGACTCACTGAAATCGTGAAAAACAAACACCATTAGCTAGCATTGCAACAATAATGCAGGATGCAACATACCACGATACTTACAGAAAAGGAAGGACTCATTTGATTTTCTAAAATAATCAAAAAAACAGGAATAGGATAGAGACACTGAAAACGCAATAGGAAGAAGGGGGAATTCAAAATTCACGATTCCTCTTACCGGTGCCATTCGTATTGCTGGGTGTGCTCCACAACCCTGCACTGCTTTATGAAGCGTTTCACCAAACATGTTTCGAAGCTCGACTGAGTGACAATATACAGCATCGATCTTAGGCCACCAATCCAACGCAGACTAGAGAAAAACAGAGACCATAAGAGAAGAAAAGTATAAATTTGCATGAGTTACATGCTCTGGTTAACACTGTAGTCTTAGGTTTTAGCCTTCCGTGAAAAATTTTCTAGGACCATGCAAACACACACCATGATTTCCAAAGTCTTCAAATAAGATCTTTAATTCAAACACCGAACCATACATGTATTTTAAAATATAATAATGAACATGAGACAAACTGCCACTTCATGTGCATGGGCATATGAGACTACCGTTTCTCACTGATAAGCCAATGAATCTGAAAAACAAAGAGTCTTTAGAAAGCTAATTCTGTAGCCAATCTTTTTCTTTTTTTTTTTAAGTTTAACTTTTACACATTTCAGAAACATATGCATTTATAGTATATATTCTCCCACATAAGAATGCTATTATCAAAGTTTTAAGAAAGATTAGTGGTTCAACACAATGTTGAAGGACTATGCGGCAAACCATCACTTATATGCCTACAAACAACAGTGATTGGTACAACATAAAATTAGTAAATGAGATAAAGCTATTAGTAAACCTATAACCTTAAATTGATATGCAATGATGGTATAATACATGAAAAGACTAATGATTACCACAAGGACAAACTGCTCATGGCTAAATATTGTTTAGATGTAATTATTTTCTGTAAATATCTGTCAGTTTCGCCCATTTAGCTCTGATTCTAGTTTCTAGTGACTATTTTATTTGAATAGTGTCTAATGTAACTTTAAAATTAATTACTATATTATGGGGGTGCCTGGGTGGCTCAGTCAGTTAGGCATCCGACTCTTGATTGCAGCTCAGGTCATGATCTCACAGGTTCGTGAGTTTGAGCCCCACATCCAGCTCCTTGTACTGACAGTGTGAAGCCTGCTTGGGATTATCTCTCCTCCCCCGCCCTCTCTGCCCCTCCTGTGCATGCCCTCTCTCTCAAATAAACAAACAAAAAAAATTACCGTATTACTAAAATGAATAAAACTATAAAGTCTATTGGTCAAGACAAAAATGAATGTTCACTATATATGGAGATTATGCAAGCCATACGGGACCACTTAACACATAGGTTATTACACAGGCATCCAGTTTATGACACTCCCACTGCAGAGGAGACACGTGAGAGAATGACTGAATTAACACAGGCGGAGGATTTAAGAGCTTCATATCCTAATCCCAGGTTCCTTCTCACTCAAAACTAAGCTCGTTAAATTCTCAACTTTTAATTTCTTCACCCATAATCGTCAGAGTATTTTAGGCAGCAGCATCAAGTTATATCACTTTAACCTAAAACTATGCGTTACGAAACTCTATTTACTGGGTAGTAAATTATACAATCAACTTACGACACACAACTTGAACACTGAACTCTATTTAGGAAGGGACCCCAAAGCTGTGAGGGAAGAAATACTACTCTCTTTGGAAAGTACGGTTGATACTGCTATTCCCTCAACCCTCACTCTACATAAGCTCATTCCTACCTAACAAATGATCAAATTTTAGTTTGGTTATATAATGGATTCTTTAAACTCTGGTCAATTCAGTCATTTGACTTGCCCAAGCAATCAGTACAGCTTGATCTCCATTTATTTACTAATTTACACAGCTTGTATTAATCGGCTTAAAGAGACAAAGGCTGAATAATCACAAAATGCAATGAGATAAAGGTCCTACTAACTCTCCTGACCCCATAATATCCTGTCAGAAACTAACTAAAGAGAAATGCATCCCATATAACACCTGATCCAAACTACTACATTACTTTAATAGCTGTTGAAATTGTACCATGGTACCAGGTGCATCTTATAAAATAATGTGATTTTAACTCATGATTTAGTGATTTTCATAATATAAAAATTTATTCATTTTAATATAAAAGTTAAAGATACACTTTCAAATTAAATACGCACTAAAAACTAGACATCATGTGGTTGGTAAAAATTATAGTGTTTTACACAGTTACTAAATGTGTCCGTTCTGAAACTAGTCAACGAAAGTAGACATTCTTTTTTTTTTTTTTCTCGAAAACACTACGTTTATTGCCAAACAAATGGCAATACTTTTACAAGTACATAGTATGAGCAAACTATGACGATTCTTCAAGAGATTGCTTAAATAAATTTTCAAATGTGTTGGAGAGAACAACTTATCCAGCCTCTTGGTAGGAAGAGGTCCTGTCATTCTCGGTACGGGAGCTACCCATGAGGAAACTACAACAAACTGCCATAAGGGACAAAACAGAGTGAATACCAAGTACCATGCTAGCCACAGCATGTTCCGCTGATGGCTAAGATATCTGGGTCAGATATGTGTATTACTATTTCTTTAGTTTCCCAATTATAACAACATACCTAACTGAACCCAAAGGAAGCCAGTAAGGATTAAGTACGTAACACAGATCTTATAACTGTAATTCATCTCTTACAGCATGCCATAATAAAAAAGTGACCGTACTAGAAGTACCAAATTTGAAGCTGACAAATGTTTACAGTATGACAAAATTCAAATAGTGAACAGGCTTGCAGATTTCTTAAGAAGAAACAGAATATCTTAGACCTAAACACTGTACTTGTGAACGGAGTATGAGTATGTTTCACAGAAGGAAAAAAAAAAAAACTGCAAACCATTACCACTCCTACGTAACCCTCAAAAACGTATCAGTAAAACTTTTATCTTACTCGAGAATGTGATAATAAGAAACAAAATCTGTGAATTTGGCTAAAGAACCATGGAAGGCAGGAACTTATGAGGTGTATTGAACCAAGAATCATTGAAAAGGAAATTTTATACTATGAATAAATTTAAGATTAGGAGTCCAAATATCTCGGAAAAACTTCATGTGATTTCAAGACAAAGTTATTTCCATAACTGTCTTCAGTGAGACTCTGTAATAGTCAATTCCATAAATTTGCATATTTACTTTATAAATAGTCCTTTTCAGTCAGAAAGTACTTCAGATTCAGTATCTAGTAGCCTCAAACCACAGGAAGGAGAAAAAACAAAAACAAAAACACCAACCCTACCAAGAAAACAATTTATCAAACAACCTATAATAAGATAAAGTACCCACTGTCTAAAGTATACCTTTAAAAGATACTTTATAGACTCAAATTTATGCTTTTGGCAGGTTACTCGTTAAAGGTCGAGTTAGTCGATACGGGTTTTTCATTTCGTACAGACGTGACCTCCGATACAGACACACCGCGCCCTCACACATGCAGTACCCAGCGGAGCACAGAAGGACGCACGACCACTTCACCGTGTACATGGAGGCATGCACGAAGTACCACTCCAGGCATGCTTTAAACCCACAAAGGAGCAGCCCAGCCACTTACAGCAGTGCCAAGTCCATGCTTGAAAGTGCTCTATGTATTCGATTGTAGACAAAAATATTTCACAATTAAAGTAACTAGCCACAAAGAATCAAAAAAGTATACACTTGGGTTTATTAAATCAAGTTGTAAGCATTTATGTAAAACCATCCACTCTAACAAATGGAGTGTGTTTAGTATTATAAGTCAAAGGAGAAAAATAATAATATTTTAATTCTGAATTACACATAAACCTGAGGGGGGGGAAGTCATCTCTTTTTTTCTTAAATGACCCTGAAAGTAAACATTAAGGATACAATGTCTTGCTCATTACCCTGGCAAAAGTAAAGTAAAATTTTGTTAAGTTTTTAATACAAACATACCTTATCTGCAATCAGATTCATTAAAGTTTCCCTTCGGGGATAAATAGCATTTTACGTTATTTACGCCTATCATTTAATCCAATGATACTCAAGTGAGGAACATATCATTCCCTCAAGGCGTTTCAGTCGCCCACAATGTCTGGGGGTGGGAGGAGGGAAGAGGCCCAACGGTATTTAGTGAAATGAGGATGAGGGATACTAGGTGTCTGGCCACGCACAAGATAGTCCTGCACAGCAAGGAATTGCCCTGCCCAGAATGCTAGCGCCCATGGAGAAAATGAAATGTGTCACTAGTCAGCTCTATTGACAGCTATTCTTGCCCTGCAGGGATGGATGAAAGAAAAGAAAGTGGGCAGAGTTTCATTTAGCTCAACGCATCCAAGGCAAATAAGTGTGGGGAGGTACTCTTAATTCATCAGCGATACACTCTTAAAGTGGAATTTGCCTATAAAGAGGACAAATATACCTAAGTTATCAGTGATTAACGTTCTTTTTGAGGGAGAAAAAATGTGGCCAATTTACACATAACTATGAATATCCATAAATGGATTAAAGTAGAGCTATGGTAAATAACACTTGAGAACCTTCAAAATATTATTTTCATGATCAGAAAAACAGCATTTTTTAACTTCATGGTCCAAATCTGATAAGGTTTCATCATCCTTCTACTTAATGTACCCACATCAGAGTCCAAAGTTTCACAAGTATCTCTTAATGAACTTGCTTATTTTGTCTGATATGCTTTTGTATCATGTCAATACCTCTATTTAAGTGTGTTAGTATTTCACGTATTTAAGGAAGACTAAAAAAGTACAATCAAATATGATCTCACCATTCTAAATGTACCATACTGGCCTACAACATATTGTTAGTTACTGCTTTTAACTTAAATGGTAAGGTGACAAGTCAGAACATATCAAATGCTGGGGAAAGGCTAGAAATATTAAAATAATATGTAAAGAGTTTGGGGATGTGGGGCACCTGGGGGGCTCAGTCGGTTGAGCGTCAAGCTCTTGGTTGTGGCTCAGGTCATGATCTCATGGTTCGTGGGTTGGGGCCCAGCATTGGGTTCTGCGCTGGCAGGGCGGAGCCTGCTTGGGATTCTCTCCCAGCTCTCTCTCTGCCCCACCCCCCAACACAACTAAGGAAATAAATAAACTTAAAAAAAAAAGAGTTTGGGGATGAAAATGTTCAATTATATTCTCAGTGGCACTGTTCTCAAGGACTTTTGATGCAAATAAAATATTTCAGGTTTAATCTTTCCAAAGGATCCTATTAACTCCACCTTCCTCAATAAAGGAAGGCCAAATTGAATATGAAACTAAATATGAAAAATACAAATGTATATCAATTACTAGATATAATCACCTGTGAGAGATATATCTAAGTTCAAAACCTTTTATAAACCAAGAATGTCTTTTGTAAAGAAATAAAGGAAGAAAAAAATTTTAAGTAATTTAGCAATACCTTTTGGACTTACATTGGTGATGATTCGATGGAGTGAATTTACCAGCACATAGTGAAATGTAGAAGGGGAATTCTGAGCCAGGCAGATCTACAGGGGAAAGAAAAAAAAATCATATATTATTTCTAAGAGAAAAATATCCTGTAGCACAAATGAGAATAAAAGAAACAAAGTTTTTAAAAAACAGAATAAATTCTTAAGGTCTTAAAATTAGTATTAATGTATAATATTGAGAAATACCAATTCATCCTCATAGTCTTTTCATATTTATAAAGAAAGGACCAACAGCATCAGGAAGCATAACTGGATAAAAACCAATGTTCTCACCTTAAAGTGTTGGTTGTTGTGAGGGCTTATACGAAAGCAAGAGACAAGGCAGTCAATCATCAGATCCACATCTGCGGGCTGACTGCCTCTTGAGAATGGCTTACTTGGATTAAAAAGCAGGTTCTATAAAAATCCCGAGAGAAAACAAAAGCCTTTAAACAGTCATGCAGTATTTTTTTTTTTTTTTTACTCGTATTTAATAATATCAACACAGCATCCACGTAGAGGGCAGTAACATTCAGTTGCCAGAAGAAGTAGAAAACACTAACGTTGTGGTTCGTTGGTCTGATAAAATTCTTGCTGTACCATGTTTGGTTCCTTTCAGGCCCTCATTTCTACGTTACTGTAAAACCAAGTCTGAATGTTTATGATAACTTAAGAAAACTGGCTAATTCTGTGTTTTCGTCAAATTCGAAGCCACTTTATTTAGTCTGAGTAACCCAAAAACAACAAAAGCAGGTCCTACGAAGGTATCATCAAAGAAGATTCAGAACTTCGGTGTTTGCAATGATCTCTGACAACTATCTAGCATAATAATACTAATACTGGAGGTTTATTTTTCCTTAGGTATTCTTAAAGTTTGAGGTAGAGAAGTAAAAAGCAAATTACCTTAAGATCAACCACCATGGACTGGACTAGGAGGAAAATGACAGAGTTGTCTTCCCAGTTGATATAAGTACTTGCTTTGCACAGTTTGACACAGGCTATTGCAGCACTCTCCGTCAGCTGCCTGCTTCCTCCATGGCCGGCAAGTGCTTTCCGTAGGCTGTCCAGAAACAACTTCTACAGAATTCAAATACAGAAACGAGACAATATGCCAAGTTTCTAACATTTCAGATTTGTCTCATAAAATAGCCAACTATCAGCCTCTAAAAATCATATTCTAAAACCACATACTTGATATTTCCAATTTTTTATTTCAAAATTTAGGTAGTTGTCATCGCTGACATGTTTCTCAAATCCCCAGAATCAGAATCTGTTCTTCACTTTCTTGGTTGTATTATTTTAAAAAAATTTTTCTTTTACATTTATTTATTTTTGAGAAAGAGTGAGACAAAGCGTGAGCAGGGGAGGGGGGAGAGAGAGAAGGAGACAGACTCTGAAGCAGGCTCCAGGCTCTGAGCAAGTGGTCACCACAGAGCCTGACGCGGGGCTCGAATCCACAAACCGTGAGATCATGACCTGAGCCGAAGTCGGACGCTCAAGCGACGCTCATGAGCCACTCAGGTGCCCCTCTTGGTTGAATTATTAAAGGACTTAAGAAACAGTCCTTCCCAAACATGGTAGTTGACTTCTCAACCCTGAATTCAGCTGATCATATTCTCTTTCAAAATATTTCTAAATATTATACTACCTTAGTCATGGTCCATGTCAAACTGTCAATCCTTTTCTGAAACTCCAGACAATATTCAACCTTCAGCCTTCTAAGGACATACCAATATTGCTCTACATTCTGTTCCTCACAAAAAGTTGTCCATTCTTGTGATCTCAAGCCCTCTTTGCAGCTCATCAACACATTTCTCCCTCTGCTTTTCTCCTAAATGAAAACCTCACATCTCCACTTACATGAATTCTCAAATATAACATGTCAAAAGCTAAACTGATCAAACAGCAGAATATATATTCTTCTCCAGTTCACATGAACAATATCCTCGATAGACCATATGTTAGGCTACAAGAAAGGTCTTAACAAATTTAAAGAGATTGAAATCATATGAAATATTTTTTTCTGATCACAATGAAACTAGAAATCAACAGCAGAAAGAAAACTGCAAAGTTCACAGATATATGAAAATTAAACACCAATGGTCAAAGAAAAAAAACACAAATTAGAAAACATCTTGAAACAGATCAAAGTGAAAACACAACACACCAAAAATGGGATGCAGTGGAAGCAGTGCTAAGAGGAAAATTTATAGTTGGAAATGCTCACATGAAAAAGAAGAAAGCTCTCAGGGCATGTGGGTAGCTCAGTCAGTTAAACATCAGACTCCTGATTTCAGCTCAGGTCATGATCTCATGGTTTGTGAGTTCAAGCCCCGCATGGAATTCTCTCTCTCCTCTCTCTCTGCCCCTCCCCTGCTCACTCTCTCTCTCTCCCCCTCTCTAAATAATCTTTTTTTTTTTTTT